TCGACAAAATAAATGTCCAACTTGGACCTGCAAGGAGCTATTCCAGGAGCCAGCTTTGCATACTACACTAAGTATGTGGTGTAGGTGTGTATTCAACTTCCTGGTCGTCATGCATTCTATGCTGACACGACTCGAGGACAGGGTCAGTCACGTCATGTTGCCTGACCTGGACAACCTTTCGATTAAGCAAGGTCCCGCGGCATAGCAAAGGCATCGCGTTGCCGGCGCGTCTTTGATTGGGAGTTTCTCAACAATCAATCGATTATTCAGCCTTGCAGTGCAGCGTAGCGGAGCTAGTCGTCGTCGATCAACAGTCGTGGGTCCTGTCGAGTACTGTACCGATTCAATATCCAATACAATATGTAGATTGTCTGCATGTTGTCCTGGTCCACCTGCAGGCGCGGCGAGTGGACCCGATGTGCGGACGGCTGCAGAATCGCTGCAGGGTACTATGCAACCGCAACGATGAGGGCGACGACATGTCACTAAACGGTCCCGGTAGCAGTGTGAGATGCAAGGAGCTGGTCGGGTATGTTTCTGCTTCTCCTTGTGCACCAGATGTGCTGACGTCTGCTCGGGGCCGTCGGATATACCTGGACGAAGCAGGCAAATAGGAGTTTTGCGTCGTAATCAACTAGGATTCCTTCGGACCTGGCGCCGTCTAGACACTGCGCCGGACAGGATCGCGTTGAGCATGAGGGGCGGAAGGAATGGTGCCGTGCTGGCATTGCGTCCGGCACGCCTCTCTGGTTGTTGTGCAACCTCTCCCCTGGCCGTTGCGTTGCTAGTGTGAGTGTGTGTGAATGGGTGTGAATTGTGTGTGTATTGTGGTGTGGTCGTGGTTGTGCCTTTCCATCCTTGGCCACTTAGGCAGGGACGACAGTGCGCCCAAAACTAAGGGACCCCGAGCCCCCGCCACACCCACGTGACTAAGCGACCATCTGCCAAAAATTCATGCACACAGTCATCAAGCCGAGCGCAACTTGAGCCAGGTCCAACAATACCTCTGCGAAGAGTTCACGAGCGACGTCATGGCACAAAATGACCAGAACGCGCCAGCGCCGCAGCCTTCTGCGGATATGCCACCCGCCATGGCTGAGGTGAAATCGCAGGCTGTGGACGATTTGCTCAAAGAGATGAACCGCATGCCGCTTTTCATGACAAGCCTGGATGAAACAGATGGTGAGGGTGGCGACAACATGGCCCTCGAAGCGCTCAAGGCATTGGCATATGAAGGCACCCGTGCTGAAATTGCAGAAAACTTCCGCCAGCAGGGCAACGACTGCGCAAGGACAAAGCAGTGGTCTAATGCAAAGGAGTTCTACACAAAGGCAATAGCAGCACTCAAAGGCCCGCAAACCCGTCGAGACCCAGACGCTACAGGGCCGGGCGTTATCGATGACGAGCTGGATGAGCAAGAGGAGGCAAATAAGGAGAGATCGATTGCAGAGGTTGTCTACGTCAACCGAGCACTGTGCAACTTGGAAAAGAGTACGTCGTGCACAAGGGAGCATGTCTAGATGACGGATCCACTGACATGGTGCAGAAAACTTCCGCTCGTGCATCCAAGATTGCGTAGCTGCACTTCACATCAACCCATCAAATGTCAAGGCGTTCTACAGATCCGCCACTGCTGGCTTGGAGCTAAACAAGCTAGACGAGGCTGCATGGGCCTGCAATCGTGGACTAACCTTGGACCCTGCCAATGGACCTCTCAAAACTCTTCAAAACAAGATTGAGACTCGAAAAAAATACATAGAATCTGTGGAAAAGGCGCGTCGAGAGCGCGAGGCAAAGGCTGCCTCGGAGCGTGCAACACTGCAACTTGCCCTCAAGAGCAGAAACATCCTTACCCGAAACACGGACAAGGCGCCAGATCTAGAAGATGCAACAGTCAAGCTGGAGAACAGCATGGATCCTTCTTCGACACTGACATTCCCGGTCATATTGCTTTATCCTGTGGATTCGCAATCGGACTTTATTAAAGCGTTTTCCGAAAGGGAGAAACTAGACCAACACTTGGACTACATCTTCCCCCTACCATGGGACCAGAAGCACGAGTACACGGTGGAAAACGTAGAAGCGTACATGGAGACGGCAGCCGGCGGGCTAATCAAGGTAGGCAAGAAGATGAGCCTCGGCAAGGTCCTAGGAAGCGGGAAGCCAGAGATCGTCGATGGCCTAGTATCCATCAGCGTGGTTCCAAAGGACAAGGCTGCCGGTTGGATCGAAGAGTTCAAGAAACGACAAGGAAAAGTTTCATAGCGTAGGCCATGTATAGTATGCACGTACATACTTACATAACTCACGGCGTTTTTCTGCCACATGGTCTTCCATACGATCATCGCCGTCAACGGCCCGAAAACAAGCGCGAATGTGTCGCTAAACGCGTGGAACACGAATTCGGTGCTGTTCCCAAATTCCGGTAATGAAGGGTTCCTTCGGCGCATGGACAGTAATCATGTGTCACGCAATTGTCATCTCAAAACTGCTCAACTCCCTTCACTCCCCTGAACATGTACGTAAGTATGTACACTGTCTCGGGCCGCACATACAGACGAGTATGACGTACATACCACTCAGCATGCACTCGTACACAGTCCTACGTTTTGGTTACAGGACGGAACGAGCTCGAAAATAGTCTTGCAAGCAGAAACAGCTGTACTCTGTACATATCTGGCTACTGCCATATCATCTGCTCCTTATATCGAATATGATGATGCGTACTTACATAGCCACAATCACAGCGTCGTCCATCTGTACACAAGATAAACATCACCACATTAGCAAACAATGATATTCACCAGGTATCTTGGAATACAAGGGAAAAACGGCTCGGAATGCCCCATAAGCCCGCCCCAGCCTCTACTATAACACAACATAGTATCCATATCAGCCAGCCTCAACAATCTCAACCCACGTCCCCTTTCCCACGCCCAGAACCCGGGTATACGGTCAGACGCACCTAGCACAGCGGGGCTCAACGGACGTGCACCCCCGAATAGGACACTGTAGCACAAAACTATAATATACACAAAAATGTACAATGTGGCTGGGCCGGCTGACCCTATAAGCGGGGTGTATTATTATCACTATGCATGCAGATTTTAATCAACCAACCTTATTGCAACCCATACGCGAACAGAGCACCACTATCTCTCATAACTCCACAGTACGGCAGAGAAAGATGGCAGATGGCAGAAGCGAACGGACCTCCCAAACTCCCTAGTAGTAATCCCTCGATCGCCCCTCTCTCATCGACCCAAAAAAAATGTGACAAACGCCGGATCAAACCCAGACGATCTTTGCCTCCCCCTTATCCCCCCCCTTCGTCATTCCCACCCCTCCAAGTCTAGATAAAGTTAAGCGGAACCCTCACCCTTGACCCCCTAGCACCTCCCCCATCCCACCAACCTTCCAACCCAAGGTAGGCATATACTAGGTAGTTTGGTAAATCGCATCGCGTAACACATCACATAGTTCAAACCATGGTTCATGCAAGACGGCTGCACATGCAAGCTGCAAGCACACACGACGACCCATATTTTCTTAATTTGCGGGTGTATTCAACGTACATAGGCGCCCGAACCGACGACGGGGGGGAAGGGAAGGAAGGCTCGCTTATGCAAGGTACGGATTTCATTAGTACTAGCGTTCCCGAGTTTCCCGTCTCGATGATATCGGGCAGCCGTTATTTTCCATGTGTGTTCGGTTGCTTTCTTTCTCTACTTTAGGCCACCCATCCGTCCGCTACTACCCACGCGAAGGAGGGGGCCAAATACTGGACTGGGCACTGATGTCCGATTGTCCGTTTTTTTTCCAAGGTGGGGAAGGGGGATGGAAGGGGGGGTATAATAAGGCGGGAAAAGGATCAGATACACAAAGACGCCAAGCCAGGCCATGCCAGGCAGGCAGGGAGGGAGGGGAGGCCAGGATTTTCTTTTTTTCTTCTCTTCCTTGCATTTATCCGCCGTCGAGGCAGAGTGCGATCGGCGAACGGGGGTTCAGTCTAGGAGGCGGAACAAACATCATTTGATTGCGCTAATCAATGCGTCGGGAGCTGTGAACCGTCTTTATGTAAATCAAATCATGTTTTTATGCATCAGTCTTTATGAAGAAGGAATGGATTGGTAAGTAAGTACACCGTGACGCAGATAAAAGTCTGCCTTGAAAAACGCCTTGTCAGCAAGTACCCGTGGCTATGACGCCCATTTGCTACCTGATGAAGACTGCGTATACCGACCGATAGCTACGACATGAGTTTTCTTATCTCTGTTTGCTACATAGCGTATCAGATCAATGATCCCGGAAAAGAATAGTAGGCTACACTTCAACCTGCCGGAATCGGGTATCAAAAAACAATTGGCTTTGCAGTCAAAGTAAAAGGATTGGGGTGAGCATTTGCACTAGCGAGACCCTGCTCTCGAATCCTGAAAAATGGTTTGATAGTACTACTAAAAAATATGTACATCTCTCAACGGGTACATGCCCATTAGGCACACCTCCATTGGGTACGACAACCAAGGCCGATAGCTACACCTACTACAGTTGCTGAACTGTACATAGATGGTTGAACGAATCATCACTTCACTCTTATATATGGTCGGGAGACACTAGCTCTGCGCTCATACCTTCACATACGTAACACTGAGCACGAAAAGATATGTCAATACTACTAGCACATTCTTCTTTCCCTCTTTTTTTGTTAGCACTATACAGCGTGTGAAAGGGTGATAAAAGTATCATATTCTCATCCTCCGCAAGCAACAACCTGTGCACAGGTACTTGGAGTAATACGTATATTTTCCTTTACTCCCACGTTGTCCACCCGCCACTTTGTCAGCCTACTATCTTATCCGCCCATGACCTTGACCACTCACCCCTTTGTCCACATATGTGGCGTATCTGAGTAGCAAAGTCTTTTTATATAATGTGAGCTAATGGGCTACATTCACCGCGGACTACCTAGTACAAGTAATGTTCCCCTACCATCTCGGTCATCAGGACTGCTCCTTCTCATACAGCTTCTTCTTCCTCGTCATGGTCGCCTTGAGCTCTGTCCAAACTAACGGGTGAACCTTTTCGCGATACGAATACCACCTGTCCGCTGACTGCACCACATCGTCTGCTTTGATCTGCTCGAGATAGCCCAGAAACCTGTGATCAGAACACTGTAGCTGTCGACGCCCACCGAAGAATAGAGTGACTTTTCGGAGCTTGGCGTCCCGGAGGATACGCAAGCAGTTGATTAGGTACTCGTCGTTGAGATATCGGCGCTGCTCGTTGGACGTGAGGTAGGGCGTATCACGAGGACAGGCATCGTCGAATACCCACTTTATATCGCGGAGATACTGCAGATTCTCTGGACCAATCATTTTCAGAAAATGTAAGACGTCCTGATAGCCAATCTCCTTGGGGACAGTGTCCCAGAACGGGGCGCGGGTTGCGTAGTGGCGATGGAAGGAGTAAGTATTTTCGCCGTATAGAATCGAGCAGCCTTCACTATGGACTAGTTTACACGTCCGGAGGAACTGAGACGACCTTGCAAGACTCCCACTAGTGCCACTACCCTTAACTGAGGGAATCTTGAGCATCTGATCGGGTTCTTTCTGAGCAAAAAGACGGCGATATATGTTATTGCGCAGTTCTGGAGGCAAATCCGTGAATCCCTTGGGGCGGTGAGTACCAGTGTCCATATCGGGGTCTGTCCGCACCGAGACTGTCTTCGTCGGCTCCAGAGAAGCTAGGCGGGCCTTTTTCGATTTAGCAGGCATCATCTCGTGTACGGCATCTTGCTGGCTATCTAAGAGGGTGCGGTCGAGCTTGACAAAGAGGGGACCATGAAATCCTAGTGGGACGTTGAACTGCAACGTTATCGGCGGAGGCTTCTTCAAGTCGTGGCGGACACCTTCCTCAATATCTGTCATTTCATCAAGCTCTTGGTTGTAGATGATCGGCTCAAGGCGAGGGGACGGAAGAGAGGGGCCACGTTTGCGCTTCTTTTTGTTTGCTCTACCACGAGGTTCCATATCTTCATCTTCGTCTTCTTCATCCTCGCTTTCTTCTGTCGTAGCAAGATCGCCATCGTCAGCTTCGAAGCTCACATAGCCGTCAGGTTTCTTCATTTTGCCTGCACTCCTGCGGATGGGACGGCCGGTGCGCTTATTGTAGACTGTGGTGGCCTTTGACGGGCTACCGAGCTCGGGGCTGCTGTCCCGATCGCGGCGAGTCGCTGGTGAAGACGGATCTGGAGTTTTTGCTTTGTCAACCATGATGGGTAGCAATGGTGTGCCGGTTGTGGTTGAGGGTTGAAATTGAGAATTGAAGTGAGTAGCGGGGTGAGAAGTGAGAAGGCGCGCGACCATAAACAGTGGAGGGAGTCACGCCGCCTGGGGAAGTAACGGTCACTCTGAACGCGTTCCTTCCAATATCACCTTACTAGCGGTCTTGGCGAACTGTTTGATAGTAGCGGAAGCGCTTTGTCGTCGAGTACCTGGAGCCCGGTTTGTTATTGATTAGTGATACTGTATTGCGTCGCTCTATCTATGTCCTCCGTCAACACCCGATACCGTCCCGTCTACCTGTGCCGGCTGCTCAGCGTCTTGTTCAAGTTGAAAGCTGCATCCATGGCACACTGATTGCTGATCATTGCGGTTCTTCTAGATTAGCGTAGATGTTTAGACCAATTCGCCAGCGTAAAGGTATCAAGTGGGTGTGATAAGTTAAAGAGTAGGAAGAGGCCCTTCCTAGTCTCGCCTAGAAAGAAGCTTCCTGTGCGATTATCGAGCTTACCAGTGAGTATGTTCTGCAGACTTTCCCATCTACACTTGATCCAGCAGTGCCTCTTGATGCTGTGAGGCGCCATATTCCCTACATGCAGATGCCGAAGGGCATACAGCGCGTGACCGGAGGATAGAGGATGACAGTGGCATACCAGGCAGTGAAAACCGAAACAGGTATGTTTGGATAATGCTGGTAGCATGTATACATTAGTTGTTTGTGCACGTGGCATTGGCGTTGATGTCGAGTGAGAGGCGAGCGCTATGGTAGGCGATAGATATTATCCCTTTGCTTTCATCACTGTCCACTTTGGCCAGTATACAGAAGTACAATGTGTACTATGCCGAAGATACGAATAGCCTGAAGTTTCTATTTTCATGTGATGTACTGATTTTGCTTTATTGAACCGAAAGGGTAAGCTGGGGGTATGAGTTCGAGGCTTGATGTGGGTGAGGATAAATATGATCGGCCATGAACAACCCAAAGGCACTGGCTTGAGCAGTTCAGAAGATGGAATATGTGCTGTCTCACAAGCAGTAATTGTAAGGTAAGGAAGGAAGCATAAAGCAACATTTCGAGTGAAGTCATAGACGAATTAGAACGAAGAAAGCCCCTACAGCGACTAAGATGATGACAAATTGGGTATTATTGAACTTTTAAGATTTCTCTTTTCCATGAAACGATGCCAGTATCTCATATCTCCTGCTTGTATTCCTTGTTGAATGCCCTTCCAATAACCATTCTCCTGACCTCACTAGTTCCAGCTCCAATCTCGTAAAGCTTGGCGTCCCTCAGTATCCTTCCTACAGGTACCTCGTTCATGTATCCCATACCACCCATTAGCTGGATGGCATCGGCTGCGACCTCACTCGCCCTCTCAGCGGCATACAGAATCGCGCCTGCGCAGTCCTGCGTCTTGATATTCGGGCTGGCGTGTGACTCGTCGACAGCGCGTGCAACGCTGTATGTGAAAGACTGCGACGCCCTGTACTTCGTGTACATGTCTGCCAGTTTACCCTGGATGAGTTGGTTGTGCGCAATAGGTTGGCCGAACTGCTTCCTCTGGTGTGTGTATGGCAGAACGTTATCAAGCGAGGCTTGCATGAGACCCAAGGGACCAGCCGAAAGAACAAGTCGCTCGAGATCCAAACCCTCCATCAGTACGCGGACACCACGATTGACCTCGCCTAGCACGTTCTCCTTGGGGACGAAGACGTCATCGAGAACGAGCTCGCCCGTGTTGGAACCGCGCATGCCGAGCTTGTCAAGTTTGTTGGCCACGCTGAAACCCTTGGATGATGTTTCGACAATGAAAGCTGTGATGCCTTTGCTAGCTCCATCGGGAACAGTTTTAGCATAAACAACGATGGTATGAGCATCAGGTCCCTATATTCGTCAGCGTCGATCTCTCTACTCCCGGGAGATAAAAAGACGTACGTTGGTAATCCACATCTTCGTGCCGTTGAGCAAATAGCCACCATCCACCTCTTTTGCAGCCATCCTCATGCTTACAACATCACTTCCCGCACCGTGTTCACTCATGGCCAAGGCTCCTATCTGTTCGCCGCTGATCAATCCAGGTAGGTATTTCTTTTTTTGCTCGGCGTTTCCGTTCAACATCAGCTGGTTGACACAAAGCTGGCTATGGGCGGCATAGCTCAGCCCAATGCTTCCGCTCGCTCTTGACAGCTCCTCCATGACGACACAGTGTGCTTGATATCCCATTGCTAGACCGCCAAACTCCTCATCGGCCGTGATACCCAGGAAGCCTGCTTCACCAAACTTCTGCCACATATCGTTGGGAAAAGCATTTTGGCGGTCTGTTTGCGCTGCGAATTCCTCTGGGATCTCACGGCGGGCGAACTCACGAACCGATTCGCGGAGCTCATCGAGGTCGGACTGTGTGGGTGGTGTGAAATTCTGGGGATGCTTCGTGGATGCGTAGCGTTGCGCAGTGGTGATGAGGGTAGGACGAATGCGCGACTGGCGGATACTTCGTGTGAGGAGACGGTGTGCTAGAGACGCCATTTTTATGAACGTGTGCGAAAAGAACAAGGAGAAAAAAGTGTGTGAAGAGCGGCACAAGCGACGAGAAAGTCGTGAGATGTTTGAACAATGTACTTTCGGTTTGCGACGGCTGATGAGCCGAGGCACCTTCCTAAAATGCGGAGGTTACGTCTGGTCTGGGGAAGAGACAGCAGCGTCATCCCGCACCTTGGCTAAATACATACTATGCAAAAAAAAAGAAAAAGAAAAACAATCTCGCGACACCTAAGTGTTGTAGCCAGTCCTTTACTGCGGTCGTGAACCGCCTTCAAAGCTCGTCAACGCGCTTCATGGGTCTTCCATTGCACTCACCTACATCCAACGCCACCAGGAATCTGCTCACGGCATTGTATGCTGCAATGGTGGCCGTCAACTCTACAACCATGGTGTCACTCAGTACCCGCTTGACCATTTCAGAGACCTCATCCTCAACCTGTACCCCAACCGTCATTTGATCGGTGTATACTATGACTGCATACTCTTCACTGCTGAACCCAGCAGGCGCCTCCTTCGCCACCATTCCATGCTTGGTCACAGGTAGGTCAAAGACGGCTTGCAGCACCTGTTTTGAGACGCCAGCTTTGAGTGCAAGCGCGGCGTGGATATCCCATTCGTGCACTGCATGGTTGTGTACTGCTACTCGGCTGATCGCAAGCTCCTTGATTGTGTCCGGGAGACTGGTCTTGGTGCGGATGGCGCCGACGAACGAGTTCCAGCCGTCTGCCACGGCGGGGTTGTGGAGGAGCGCGAGATCAAGAGGAATGAGGGGGCGGGGCTTTCGTCGCTCGGCGATGCGCTCGTAGATGGGACGCGCCTCTTCATTTGGAGGTTCGCTGGGGGCATACGGGACACGCATTTTGGGTACGGCAGACGAAGTAAGGGCCCGTGAGCAGGTTATGGGTAAGCAGACACGAGATAGAGGACGTGGAAAGTTGAATTGACGGAGGTGCATGACCAGATGAAAGGGGGGCTGGACTTGACTTTATAGCCAGCGTGTGTAAAGAGCGGAAATGTGACGGAATTGCTTTCCGGTGCCCGGAGCTTTTTTTTTGGATGGTCTTGAAAATGCTTTCATTTTGATTTCATTCATGAGGGTGTTTCCCATCAATTCCGCTAAATACAACATCTATATAACAAACACTGCAACCGCTAAATTTACAACCTGCTCTGCTCATCGAAGACATTTGGTAGCCTGGGAATACCCTCGAGTCTGGTCGACTTCTTGCCAGATGGTGCAAGCGTGACATTGTATGTCAGGTCGAGCTTGGCCTTGGGGTCTTTGCTGGGCTCAAAGTCGAGAAGCAAGTCGTCCTTGACAGCAAAGACGGTGTCGTTGGTGACGTATGGGTCATCGCGGGGGTATAGTTGAGTAATCAAAGGCTTGTAGTTGTCTGCTGAAACCATGAGATGGATGTGAGCGGGGCGGAAAGGGTGGCGGTCGAGGGTCTTGAACAGCTGACCAGCAGCGCCTATTACGGTGGGTTAGTCGGGTTCATGTTTTGGTGTGGATTTATCTTTCAACATACCATCGGTAGGCAGCGAGTACGCTGTGGGCTTGTAGCAGTAGTACCAGTACTCGCCATTCTCGTTTGTTGTGAACTTTCCCCTCAGGTTGTTTGGCTCCTGGTTGTCAGGGTCCTGGAAATCGTACTTTCCGTTGGCACTCGCTTGCCAGATATCGATGACGGCGTTGGGGATGCCCTTCTTGGTGTCTAGGTCAATGACCTTGCCGTGCATGAGAGTGGTCTGGCCATCGGGGTGGGGGTTTCGGACAATGGTATCGCCAAGTGGGCGGAATGGCGAGTGTGGCGACCAGAAAGGACCGAGAATCGTTGAGGAAGTAGGTGTCTCGCCAGACTCGTTAATGTGCATGTGGGCGATCTCATCGACCAGTCTATGAGTATGTTAGCGGCATGGCCTAGCTATCCTACCAGCTGTAATGCTTACGATTCTACGCCGAGGACGTCAGAGATACGGTGCGCCTCGTTCCTGGTGTTGGTGGTGGTTTTGCCAATGGAGTTGACAAATCGTACACCCTCAAACCACTCGTCGTTGGTCAACTCGACTTCACGAATAAAGTCATGAAGATGTCTGATCAGCTTGCCCATAACAAATCGTGTCCGGTCTGGCACTGCAGGTCCCATGGCGTTGATGACAGCATCGGTGAAGTTAGGGTCGAAGCGATGCCCGCCCTTGTTCTCAAGGTTGGGGGCTTGTTGTGTGTTTGGATCCATTTTGGCTGTGTTAAAAAATGTGAATATGGAAGGGAAGATATGTTGTCAAGCAGGCTTTGGAGAGTAGAGTGGTGCTCGAGTGCTTCTGACGTCTGGGGCACGAGGGATCTTAATAAATAGCATCTTGGAACCACCCCGGATGCGCCAACCGAGTGAGCGCTGTTAGAAACCGCCGTGTGTCTAGCCGCACATCAGGCGATGAAGCGTTGTCAGAAGTAGCTGCGGCATACTGCACCGGCTCTGAGACGGGCTGGGAGCATGAGGGGTCACAGTGCCGGGTTGGCCCATGGGGTTCTTTGGCGGCTGGCCAATCACGGCGAAGCTATTGGGGAAGAAGTCTTTCCCGCCCTTTATCCCTCATGCTAAGCAGCGTCAGTGCCAGTGCCCCGCCCTCGGTACTGACCTCGGACGTTTGGCTATGCGACACCATGCTCAACCTTGTGTGGGTAGTCGGAAGTGTGACAGTAGAAGACGTCGGGGGGTCCCAATTCCTTCGTGCTCTCCATACTACTGACGCGCAAGCCGCTGCTGTGAAAAGAACAATCCTTCAACATGGTTAAACACCACCTCATGATCGGCACGTGGACGCCGCCTGGTGTGATAATCACAGTATCCTTCGACGATGAAACGCTGAAGCTGGAGTTGGTGAAGAAAACCGAAATCCCAGAGGATGAACCGATCAGCTGGATGGCCTTTGACGTATGCGCACAGCCCACGAGCCTTGATGCCACCGGCAGTGACTGATCAACAGCAACACAGCATCAAAGGAAGAATATCTACGGCGCATCAATGAAGAAATGGAGTTCACATGAGGTGAAGAGTCCAGGCGAGATTGTACACACAGGAAGCTTTCCAATCGGCGGACATCGTATGCAACTTCTGGACATACTCGCCATTACTTGCTGACAGGTGTTACAGCCAAAGCAAATGATGCCGACACAAAAACACGCGCCATCTTCCTCCTTCCTGCGAAAAAGCCACCGTATGCCGTGTACTGCAACCCATTTTACGACTACGCTGGCTATGGCAACATCTTCTCAGTCAACCCCTCCGGACACATCAAGGAGAACATCCAGAATTTCGAATACTGCGAGAAAACCGCAATCCACGGCATGGTCTTCGACCCTTCAGAAACCTACCTCTACAGCGCAGACATGTGGGCGAACCGGGTGTGGTGTCACAAGAAGATAGACGATGAAGGCAGGGTAGAAACAGTAGGCTTCACTGAAGCGCCGGCTCCAAAGGACCATCCCAGATGGGTAGAGATGCATCCCTCAGGCAACTACCTATACGCCTTGATGGAAGGAGGGAATAGGCTGTGCGAGTATGTGATTGATCCAAAGACCAAGCTACCTATCTACACTCACAAGGTGTATCCCTTGATACCACCAGGTAAGCGCTATACTCACCGCCTAGTATATTCGCCGCTAAAATAGGCATCTTAGGTATCCCCAACGCAGACACCATGTACCGGTCAGACGTCTGTTTCCTGAACAAATCCGGCAATTACCTCTTCGCTACGTCCCGGTCCAACTCGTTCGATCTCACTGGTTACATTGCTGCTTTCAAAGTCGCCCCGTCAGGCGCCATCGAGCGACAAATCTGTCTTAATCCTACACCGACTTCCGGTGGGCATTCTAATGCAGTCTCTCCATGCCCTTGGTCGGATGAGTGGCTCGCCCTTACGGACGACGAGAAGGGTGGAATTGAGATTTACAGATGGCATGATGAGTTCCTTGCAAGGGTTGCAAGGTTGGAGATTGGAGAGAAAGGATTTGGTATGAATGCCATATGGTACGACTAGTTTGTATAGGATTAAAAATGAATCCTATAGAAATCTATGGAAACTTGGTAAAATATTGATTGTCACCCTGCACTATGGAATGAGTTACTCTTGATGTTACTAATCTTTGAAGAAATGTCTTGGCACCGTGAAGGATGAATGGGATAAACTTCCAGCTGACGTGTGATTCGCATGGCCAAGTAGAGAAAAAAATACACATGCCGAGTAAACCTTCTCCGCTGCGGCCGAGTTGTGCCCGGAAATCTGGTGAGAAGTCTTGCGGATTTATGTTCAGCCACGGAGGAATGAGGGGCAGCGCTGGAAGTGTTTTGCCCCCAGTCTAGCGGCAGCCGGCAAATGATATCGGGGAAGCTCTTGCTCCCCCTCCAACTTCGTCATGGTCCGCACCACGGCATTGTAGTTTAGGTTAGGTTAACGTTCGCTGAATCCAATACTAAACTTGTAATTTCTTTCTCAACATCTATCTTCTATTTCCGTTTGTGGTCAAAACACGTTCAACGATAAAACAACATTGCAGACTTACTACAGCTACCCCACACTAGCAAGACAGAATGGCGTCCAAGTCAACACCAGGCATTTTGTACGTGACTATGCAGCCCAAAGAGGGTCTGCCAGAAGCACAATTCCACGATTGGTAAGTTGACCCTTTAGACAGTCGAATTCTGGCTTCGTCAAGATCCCATCTAACCTTTATTCCCCCAAGGTACCAAAACGAACACGGTCCCAACCGGCTCCGCCTGCCATTCTGCAACAATGGCTTCCGCTACCGCGCAACTGATCTCGAGAGTGCACCTGGCTCAAAAGATAAGCCTGAGTGGATGGCTGTTTACGACTTTGACGAGCTTGAATGGTTGACAAGGGAACCGTATCTAAAACTTCGTAGTGCGCCAGTGCAGTCGCAACGGGAGAGGGATACTATGAAACAGATTTTCGTGGATAGAAGATCCTATGATCTGCTCAAGGAATGGAAGGGCAACGACTTCAAGGACCTACAGAAAGTGGAGAATGAGGGCGAGAAGAATGTCATGATTGCTGTGAGCTTCGCGCTGCAGGATGGTGCAGGTAAAGAGGAGGAGCTGAAGAAGTGGTACGAGGAAGAACATGTACCACTTCTGCAAAAGGTTCCCGGGTGGAGACGGACAAGGAGATTTGTCACTTCATATCTAGATCTTGAAAGCGGACACAAGACGGAGAAGGAATATCTCGCGCTGCACGAGTATGCGCCGCAGAACGGACTTGGAGGACCAGAGTTCAAGGCGGCTACCACAACAGAGTGGTGCGACAAGATCTACAAGGACGTAGTCAAGGACCGGAAGAGGAGGGTATACGAGCTATACTACACATTTGGCGCCGCACAGCGTGATCTGCAGAGTCTCGCAAGCAAAGACACATTTGCCGTAGAGACAACAGAGGGCAAGGTGAAGACGCACCCGGCACACACCACAGCCGAGCAACGACCAGTGATAGAAAGCTTCGTCACAACAAAAGACGGCGTCGAACTCCCCTACCGACTCGAAGGTTCCAGCGACCCCAACGCACCACTGCTCGTCCTCGTAAACAGCATCCTAGTCGACTACGGCATCTGGGACGACTTCGTCCCCGAATTCCTCAACCTCACAAACAACAAGTACCGCATCCTACGCTACAACACCCGCGGCCGCAACACCCTACCCGCAGACTCCACATCCCCGATTACCGTGCACACACTCGCAGAAGACGTAATCACGCTCCTCGACGCCCTCCGCGCCAAAACAGCCTCAATCATCGGCGTCTCGCTCGGCGGCGCCACAGCCCTCAACGCGGGCCTCTCCTACCCATCCCGCATCTCCGCCTTCATCGGCTGCGACACCAACGCCTTCGCGCCCGCCACCAACGCCAAAGCGTGGAACGAGCGCGTCGAGGTCGCAGAAAAGGAAGGCCTGAAAACGGCATCTGGCGAGCCCATTGTCGGCGAGGAACTCGCAGAAGTCACGGTGCGCAGGTGGTTTGTCAAGGAATCGTACGACGACGCTGAGCTGGCGAAGAAAATCCAGCACGTCAAGGATATGGTCAAGACGAATTCGCTACCTGGGTTCCGCGACTCGGTCAGGGCGCTGCACGAGTATGATATTAGGGACAAGATGGCGGGGTATCAGGGCAAAGGCGCGTTCTTGGTCGGTGCGGGCGATGGTGTATTGCCCAAGACTATGAAGGAGAATATGGCGGAGAAGCTGGGTAAAGGGGTTGAGCTCAAGGTTATTGATGGTGCGGGACACTTGCCCATGGTAGAGAGGCCGCGCGAGGTTGCGCGGTTTGTGGCTGGGTTTCTAGAGGGTTAAAGAGAGATTGCCGGGATAGATATCTCTTCTAATGTGAGAAGGGGGTTTCCTAAGAATACCGCCCCCTCCCCCCCCCTTTTTTTTTGCTTCAGAGCAAGTTTTGAGTGTATTGTAAGGAAAAAGAGTGTTGTTGTATCCTGGTGATTTCTTGTGTCTTGATTTTCCCGCTCATGGACTAAAACTATCATGCAGTCATCAATCTCAGCAAGTGCTTTATTTTCTCACCAATAGTATTACTTGAACGACCGAATCTTTTCTCGCAACAACAACCCCCCCTCCCCCTTCTTTATTCAAGCCCCTATCTTACAATCCCTCACCTATCTTCTCTCCCATCGGTCCAACTAGTACAATTGACGCACCGCTTAGCCTTCTCACTAATATATTTCCTGCAAAACTTGCACTTGACCTGCCTCTTCACAATATTATCACCGCTGCCCCTGCTATAAGCCAGGGCAATGACCCAAAGCGCCAGCGCAACAATAATAAACCTTACAACCTTGTCTAGAAAATTGCCGTAAGCAAGAACCACGGCGCCGTCATCGACCGCCTGCTTGGGCGTATTGTAGCCGTTTGAGATGGACGTGTTGTAGTTTGGGCCGTGCTGCAGGACGGCAAACTTGGCGTCGAGGTTACGCGAGAGGAAAGGTAGCAGTGAGATTATAGGCAGGATGATGTCGGACACGAGAGCATTTGCGCAGGCGGTGAAGGAGGCTGCGAGACTGCGAGGGGGGGTGGCAGGTGGCCAAATGTTAGTTACAGTATACCGGTTACAGTACACACACTCTCTCTTTTGGATGGGGGGGCCGGAGGCGCAAGCGATCGGGCCATTGAGGGCGGGAGGAATTTTTTTTAATAATCCTTGCAAGCCAAAAAAAAGGGTATCACTGTACATTAAGCCGACGGCTACTTCGAGCACATTATCGCGAAGCGCAAAGTTGCTGAAGCTATCCCAGGCGTTGAATGTGTGGCGCTTGATGCCCTGCTCGGCATCGCGCAGGGTTTGTTGTGTGTTGTCGTCTAGGCGTGGCATGATGGCGTTAGGAATAATGGTGGTGGTGACGTTTGGAGGGAGGTTGGTGCATGGGTATACTACTGCTACCACGAAGAAAGGGAGAGAAAGCTGGGGTTGCTTTGGGTAGCGACGTCATGAGAACCAGGAAAAGACACCAGCCAATCACGATATCATCCGCTCTGCTGGGACACGACACCCCATACCCACTGACAACGCACACGCATCCTTACATGCGCACCCACGCTGATTCCACCTAGCACCATTTTTTTGCAAATCCAAAAAGCAAATGCCATTGCGTGTTTGATCTTCGTTTCGTCATGTATATTGTTAGTGGAGTGTAACTTATGAATAGCAAATCCACTCTCAACCCGTACTAGCTGAATCATCGCAGCTTTGCCTAATGCATCTAGAAGACCACTTTTTTTTTCCCACATGGGTGTCGATCTCTCCCCTCGCCCGTGGGCCTTGCTAGCGATACGCCCGAGGGGTAAAGTGTCCCAAACTTTTTTTTACCCTGCGTTTCGCCATAGGGTAGGCGGTTGCAGCGCTACGCATGTCATCGCGACTATCTGCGCACAATCGCATCCTTTGTTCGTAGACCCGGACACACTTTCATGCACACATAGATTCTATCATCTTCTCTCGCTGTGCACCTGAGCCACGTACCGGGCGTGCATGCTAGTCTGTCTTGCTGCATGCAGCCATTTCTGAACATGCAATTGAGTGTAGTCGTAGTCCATCCCCCACAATTCGGCCCTTTTTTTCTCTAACACCCCTCATTCGTCAAAAAATTCACACAGGACGCGCACTGCTGTGTGAGGCGTACTGGTACGTACATGCGGCGTAGTATGTACATGCTACATAGATTCCGCCATCGGTGTAGACTGCCCCGCCACTACGCCAGCCTCGTCTCTGATCAGAGAGAATAGTTAGCTTAGCCGACGCCGGCCCGCCCACCATGGCCGTGTGATCACGCATTGCCCTTCCTGGACCGACTAAGATGGCCCCGTCTCAGAAGAAGGATGAGAAGGGGGGGAGGAGATAGTACTGAGAGACAAAACGCAGGGTCTCGGATGCATGGACATGACAAGTGGTCAGCTCAAAGTCAGGTCAAGAGACACACAGTCAGGGTAGATCTCATATCTGCTCGCCTAGCGCTGGGCGCGATACTCCATCTCCGAATTTTCCGCGTCGGCCGTCCATGATTGGGTCGTGGTGGGCAGCATTATGCCGGCAGCTATCATTGCGCAGCGGCAGAATGGAGTCGTAAGTAGGTGCGCGGCCGGCGGACAGGTCGGAGCATCTGTGGAGCATCACGATTGCGATGGGGTCGCTTTGTGGGTGTGCACGGTGCTGGGTGCCGCTGGTCTGGCAAGACAGTCGAGGTTTGGGATAAGGGCGGTAAGCGCGCGACCAAAGGGAATTTTGTGGTGGATGGAGGGGTAAAAGGGTATCGGGGGCTGCGCCGTGAGGTCACGGCACCTTGCACTTGCTTAGCGTGCAGCACTAGTGGGGGTTGGTGTGGTGGGGGGATCCTTGATCACAAATGTGTAGCCATCAGGAGATTGAATTTCACCCCCAAGTGGTGTCAGACGTCCACTGGGTGACGTGCCCCGTGGTATACACGGAAATTGCGCGAAAATGCTCGAAAGAGGGGAAGCCTGTCGACGGCAATACAGACAGTGTAGTATGCTTGAGATACCATGTTGATTTTTTTGCTTCTCTCTATCTGCTCATTAGATCCGATGCTGCTTCTGTTGCGCAATCTGGAAAAGAATAGGTGTAAATGCTGACAAGTAGTAAACGCCTCCCAATGCAACTTCCCCTGACAAAACAGTCCCGTGGTATACCAAAAACGCCTTCTTATGCTGTGCGCGTGTGCGCTGAGAAACCAAAAAAAACCACCAACACCGTGCAATGCTAGATCATCAAAAACAAAATACCCCCCTCGCTGCTCCATAATGCTGATGCTGTAAATGTCATGTATGCAAACTGCCTCTTCTTACTCAGTCTTGATGTAGGTGCCTGCCATACCTCCCTTCACCTTGTTCATCGCGACATGTCGGTCACCGAGTCTGCCCTTGCTCTTGACTTTGACCTTGTCGATGACCTCCGGCGTTCGGCACCATCCTTTGCTTTTCTAGTTTTTGGGCGACGGAGGATAGGGCCCTCTTCCTCTTCTGACTCGTCTACAGTGAAGAGATCCGGGCTGGGTTCTCGCCAAGAATGGCGATGGCCGGATAGTGTGCGTGAATAGCGGCGACGGTTCTGTTGCTTGCGAGCAGCAAGGTCCTGGGCACGGCCTCGACTTGGCTCAGCAATGCTGATCCTTGATGGGCTAAGCTGAGACACCACATGGGGTGTGTCGTTCAAGCGTTCGTCATCAAGCCCCATGAAGGACTCCTCGTCCTCCTCGTAGATGGTTGGCACGTGATAGACGTTGTGGAGTGGGGCGTGGTTCTGCTTGACATAGCGAGCCCACCTGCCGGCGACGTTGGACCTGAACTTGGCTGTCTTTGCGGTGCGTGGTCCCTCGTCGGCGTCGATGCCGGCGCTCAGAGACAGCTCGTAGGGATCCTCAGCGTCGGTGATGGGGGTGATGAAGTGGGCAAAGGGGTCCTCGTCGATGTCGGGCAGATGGCTGGAGTCGTCGTCGGACGTCTCGACCCATGGAGGGAAGGAGTAGGCGCGAGGGTTGGAGCGGAGATAGGAAGGCATGGCTGATAGGGTGTCCTTGATGGATCGGAATAGGCAAGCGAAGCGGAGTGGTAGTGGGGGCTTTGAACTTTTTTCAACCTTGACTAAGGCGACGTGACAGAGAATCTTGTCCTCCCGGCTCCGTGCCGGTGGTGGTCAAGGGAACAGCGTGAGAGCACTCGTTGCAGAGGGCTCGCAGCTGGAGGCGCAAGCAGGTGTTTTTGTAGTCGGGGCAGCTGGAAGGGGCACACGCAAGGGGTGTATGCGTGACTTGGGCGCACGTCTCGGAAGAGTCACAGGAAGGCGGAGTCGGAGTGCAGCCTGGGGGGACAATGGGGATGGTGATGATGATGGTGATGGAGATGGAGCCTGGGGGATTGGGGAAGGGGGAGGGGAGGACACAAAGGCAGACAAGTGGTGATTAGTATGGGCCCGTGGTGTTTCCTCCGCAAGAGTGCCGGATGGGGTGAATGGCGTCCTGTCGAGGATAGGCCGAGTACTTATGTTTGACAGGCCGCGATGTGGTGCCGCAAGAGGAGCCCTGCAGGTGCAGTGCATATGGCTGCGGGCTGCGTTAGCGTGGGAGAGGGAGAGAAGCTTGGTGCAGCGTGGACAGAAAGGGCAAGGATTCCAAGGCCATGGGGAATGGGTGACAGGCAGAGTGATGGCTGACGGGCCACATGAGATGGTTGGTGGCACACCATCGCGGTGAGGGATGACCTGCAGCCTGCACGCGTGCATTGGCCACTGGATGTTGCGGACGACACGGCCGTTAATGCAGGATTGTCGATCGCGATGCCGACGGCGACCCGCCAGAGGCCGAGCTAGGGCTTGAGACTGCCCAGCGCGATCGTAGGTGTACATACTGTAGCTGTCCATGTACTGCGTAGAGTACACTTGCTCATCGCCGCGCGCAGCGGGCGGCGGGCAGACGAATGCGAAGAATCGTCTACAACATGCTACGCCTGCGGTACATGGTGGAGCAAAAGAAGCACCACCACCACCACCAACCACCAACCACCAACCACCAGCGGGGGCACACCCACAATGCCATCACCATTCCATTCTCACTCAGCCTCACTCGACCTTGCCTGCTTCGGCTCTGCCACACGTCCTCTCACACACCCTCTCTGCCCTCGCCGACTGATTCCATCTTCCACTACGCGTCCCCCCTCCCCTCCCTCACGAGCATGACGAGGCTGGCTGCGTGAACCTTCGTTCGGTGCCTGCAGCCGACACCACCACCATCACGCCGCCAGTCACGGCGCGGTTTGGCATACCTGCTTCCCCCCATTGTGCGCCTGGTTTCAGCCAAGTGCCTCCTCCAGCTGATGCGGCTCCAATACACCATGTCCTGCACTTGACCTCTTCTTGCCATGACATTCGCCACACGCCTCGGACACCAAAGTAGTCGTTTGCTAATACACGACCATATGATAATGACACGCTGGGATATCGCGGCTCTCCAGCCCCCGCTCCACTCCCACTCCGCCAATCTCGATATTCGCTTCGCTGCTATATTCCTGCATTTTCTTAACCCACCCGGCCTCGTGCCGGCCTTATTTTGCTTAGGTCCCCTCAGACCTGATACCCACTGCCCGCATGCAGCGCCATGGGGCCGTCGTGCACCTCACAAGTGCGCAACACTGCTCAAAACTACGTCATTGCCAAAACTGCAACTCTTGCACCATCCGACCATGGCCGTGTTGCCATGAAGCCTTTTTTTTTACTTCGTACAGAACCGTGCATCGCCGTTAAGCGCGCCAGGCTGACCTGTGGCTCAATACTTGACTCAGCAGTCCATCCCACCAATTCCTGCGTCACCTGGACCCTGTTACCGCCTGACGGCGCGCCATGGCCTATTCCAGCAACTGTAAACCTCAAGCTTTCCCACTCGCTTAGATGAATAGAGGCGGCCTGAAGATCTCACCATCAGCTCTGACGAGCACCTCCGCGCGCACCTCAGCGGCCTGTCCGGCTCTGACGGCGCTGCAAAGTGGACGAATCCCAGTCGCGAGCGCCTCGGTAAACACAATCGCCAGGGCACTATCCTCTTTCTAACCAAATGGCACGCGCAACAATCTCAGCTACGCTTGCATTTGGGATAGTTCAGCTCTTACTTTGATTGCTGCGACAAGATTGGATCCATGTAAAAATAAAAGCAAACACTTTGCACAAGACATGGGAAGCCGGCAACGCCGATCGGGAAATAGCCATCTTTGTCGCCTCTAAACTAACATGCTCTGGGTTTACACACATCTCTGCTATAATCTAGCCGCCTCCAGACTTGAACCTTGCTGTCGCCATCACTATCGCATGGCTCACTATCTTTCAAGAGTCGGATGTTACTGCTTTGGGTAGACTATACCTTTACAAAGCGTGACTCTTTGCTTTTGCGCGCTAGTGCTCTAGTCTACATACCCAAATCGACCGATGGACTTTTTTACACGGACAAAACGTCTAGTACCTACCGCCAGGCACAATGCTGCAGTAGTTCCCGAAATTGCGAAAACTAATCGCCCTCCTGTCCTTCAATGTCGCTCAGCAGAGCGCACTTCGGGATAACTTTCACCGCCCTACACCGCCCTTTGGGCGTTAATTCACGACAGGATCGACGCCCCCGCGTTCGGGAGCTAGTCGTCCCTAGCCTACAATGAAGAGCAGGGTCTCCCAAACCTCAGCATTGCCGCTCCGCGACAACAACACCATGGCAGTGGGGCTACATGTTTGTAATACCCATTTTCAAGTTCCTTGGAATAACTCAGGCTAGTCTCCGCTTTCCTGGCGTCTAATTCGGCTCTTCTATGTCATCTTGCCCTGCGTTTTCTCGGAATACGAATCGCCATTGGCCGCATGTTTCATACGAGGCGCTCACCGCCGTAGTGGAATCATCGCCAAAACGTCGGCAGTCGATACCAGATTCAACTCACATGCCGATACACCCAGTCAATCTCTTACCTCTCCTGCATCTCCTGCATCTTCTGGCACATTTTCTCAACGACTATGCAGGAGACAGCTCTGTGGGGTAGGATGTGCGTTACATTCTCCCAAGTCCCTGCCCGTCGGCATTGTAGCATCTGCACAAGGACAAAAGTAGTGGCAAGGCGAACTTTGCATGGCCTCCCCACATTTGTCCGCGGATGCGCGCGCGTACTGTGTAGAGTGCTAACTTACTGCCCAACACTTTGACCAACGCCCTCTCAGGGCCTGATGAGGCTCTCACCGACTACGTCACTCTACCTGTTGCTTGAGTCCTGCGCTACGGTTGGCGCAAGCAAGTGCATGCTCAGGCACCCCATGGCCAACCTCATCCTAGTGGTTGGTTTTTTTTTCTCAGTGAACAACAGAAGCCATCACGCGGTTGGCAAAAGAACAAGTCTCCGAACACCGCGATCGTCAGGTTCAACAAGAAAAAAATCAGGGAACGTATATGACTTAATACCATCGCTGCGATCGAGAGGGACCTCCTGCTTGCGCGTATGGTGTCGCAGAAATTTCTTCTTCTTTTGGAGAAATTCAGCCAACGAGCGACAGAAGCGACAGGAGAATCAAGAGCGAAACCGGCCAAAATCGAAGATCCTGTCGCAGATTTAAAAAAGAAAAAGAAAACAATGCGTATAGTCGATTAAACCCCGCATGGCGTAATGAGATGTATGCATGAAAAAAAGTATTAGCGAGGCGAACGACTGAAAAAGTGGTGGGGAGCCGTGTTGGTTGAGCGAACATCACCACCTACTTTGATCCTGGTGCATACAACACCATAGTCCTAGTCTGTCTCTCAACAAAAAAAGGACTGTAGTGTAGTGCAGTGTAGTGTAGTGTATACGAAAGCAGCAGCTGAACAATAGAGAAGGAGAGTACGTGCGTACATGCCACATCTGATCAACATCCTCGTCTCAGAATATCATTCTTTTTCTTTTCTTCCAAACATGCAAACAAAAAAAACACACGCTTGATTACATACGACTATGCAAAGGCAAACAAGATGATAATAGCTTCATGCCAGCTTATTGACGCCAATGTCGTGTGTGTGTGTGTGTGTGTGTGTCCACACCACATTCACACCTCTACACAACCCTCCCCCTCCTCCGCTTCAGAACAAGCATAGTCGAAAAAAAAAAGAACCAAAACGCCGAGAAACCATGGTGGTGGGGGTATTCAATCATGAGCAAGGGCAACCAACACAAGGCTACTACTACTACTAACTACTACTAACTACGAAGGGATGCCAATCTCATAGCCCAGCATGACCTCCGTCGACGCACCCTCCCAGCCCCTGTTTCCGCCCGTAGAAATCATAAAGTTGCAAACCGGGTCGAGATAGAGCTGGGAAATGAGGCCTGTGCGATGACCGGGCACGATGAAAAAGGGAGTCGCAGCAGCACCCGTCTTGGTACCAGAGTCTTCGTGCGTGAGGTCATAGAGACGGAGAATGTCGTATGAGGCGCTGTGTTGAAGCATTTCTGTTAGCACACATGACTTCTTTTTTTAACGGGGGGAGGAGGGGAGGGAAGGGGGGGAGGGGAAACAGAAAGAGAGGTGTGTACATGTGACATGCGATACGAAAGGAGGGTGGGGTGGGGGAGGGGACTGGGTTTCTCTCTGTATATTGAACTTACCACACGAGATGCTTCCCATTAGGCATAGCCCGGACAGCGCTGACAGGGCCACTGACGCTAGGGAACCTGAATGTCCGCCTTGGCTCTCGCAGACTCTTGTGGAGGCTGTATTCGTCCACGGTACTGTTTCTCCTGCATGCGTAGATGAAGTTGCCATCGGGCGACCAGCAGGCATTCATGCACCACGGGGGTGTGTTGCGCGGTGGCGTGATACGCGCGACGGGGTTCGGCTGCCGCCTGTCCCAGATGCGCAGTGTGCCGTCCATGGATGCATCTACAAAGGTTGTCTCGGACGATGCCGGCTGCACAGTCTGGTTTGCTGATGTGTTAATGGGTTGCTCAATGTCCTCTGCGTGAGGTAGTCCGCTTGCTGCGCCATTTGACTGTGAGTCGGCTGTGCCATTTGCATCTGGCATTGCCTCAGTCACTGTGTTAGGCTCTTTTACGTCTTCGCCTGTAGGCTCCTGGGGTTCTTGAACAGGGCCGCCCATATCCACCAAGTCTAAATCGGCATTGGCATCTTCATCTGCCTGCTGTATGCCGTTTGCTATGGCTCTTGAAAACTCGTCGTCATCGTCCCCGAATGAAGGCAGAGTTGCTGATAGGTTGTTCTCTTGGCCACCGTCACCAAACAGAGAGTCCTGATCCTTATCTCCGAACAGCGAGTCATCTGGAGAGCCCTGGGCATCCTCGATACCTTCATCCTTGGGTATTACAGGCTTCGTGTCGATGCCATTGGGGGTGCTTCCGTTTGCTCGAGGGCGAGCGGCGTTATTTGAGGAAAAGGTACCATTGGCCAGAGGGAGGGTTTCAGTGTCTTGGGGTATGGGCAGTGTAGATATTGGCCGCTGCTCAATGGCGGATATTTGACCACCACTCGTTTCGAATCTCCTCTTGACCTGACCAGTGTTCAAGTCCCAGTCGTTAATGGTCTTGTCCCAGCTGCCACTAAGCACCGACGTCTCATCCTGCGATAATGTCAAGACCGACACGGCCGATGTATGATTCCTCAACGTATGGATGCGGGTTCCTTCTTGATGCCGCACTGATTGTAGGTTGATACCTCCCGAGTCCAGGCCCGAGAGCAGCCAAAGAGCCTGGTGATGGACTGCGAGCGAGTAGACTGGCGACAGACTCTCAGCGCCGGCTGCGCTGTCTTCGTTTTCCCAGTAAGATAACAGAACACCTGCTTTGGTGACAGAGTCCACAAATGGATGCCGCTGCGCTACGGTGAGAGCAAGCTTCCCGTTGGCGGTGTCTACCCAGTTGAATTTCCTGATATAACCGTCTGAGCCTCCAGTGAAGACCCATCGCATGTCGGGTGTTGCAGTAATAGCATTGATCGAGGTACTGTGTGGCGCAGCAATGGTAGGAATGATGTCGTACATGGGTGTGTTCAAGGCTTCCTGTCGCACGCTGGGGCGGAAGGGCAGGTTGCCCAGAACACCCGTTGCTGCTGCGGCATGTGGACTCGGCGATGTAAAGGTCACGGCTGGATTGCCATCTCCTCTACCAGGTGTTCCGCCATTTGGAATGTTGCCGCGCGGATGTTGCGAAGGACTGTCCGGCTCGTCTTGATCTTGATCTTGATCTTGGTCCTGGTCCTGGTCTTGGTCTTCGTCGTCATTATCATTATCTCCTTCGGCATCGTCATCGTCGCCGTCGCCGTCGCCGTCGTCTGCATCATCTGCATCGTCTTCCTCGTCTACGTCCATGACATCGCCGTCGTCCTGCTCATCCTCGTCCTCGGCGGAGCCTGCGCGCGCGGTCAGCTAAACAGCTCTGTTCAGTGCTTGGTGGTGCACTTACTGGCGCCATTCTCATAGTCATCCTCGTCATTCATTCTGCATCCATGAGCATAGCCTCTGCTTACTCTTAATCAGCCTGGATACCGTGTGGTGGTCGCACTTGTAATGCGCCTGACGTTCGCGTTGAGGAACATGGATGAGGCTCCGCGCGTCATGTAGCCGGCCCGCGCGTGCGCCACACTATTCCCCATCTGACCCCGGGCAGCCACACTTGATTTCACGACTAAATCTGTGATCGGCTCATGCGAATTCGTATCCAATAAATGTGTGAATAATACTCTTATCGTGTGTGATGCTGTGCGTACAAGCAATTTTTTGGAGTAGTGGCAGTGGTTCAGCGAAGCGCTAAAGACGCAGTTGGACTTTTGACTGATCAATACGGTAGCTCTACTTCATACCTTTTTTTTCTGTACAACAGGTGAATGCGTACTCGTTGGACAAGCCTCTCCACCCACAGCACCCAGCGGATCTCCAAGTATTGCCCTTTTTGGATCTAATATAAGAGTATTGTGACAGCCTCGACAGGCCGAGTCACTAGCATGCTTGCACTTTTGAAAGGTAGCGCTCTGAATAGATTGTATTGATGCTGTGCTGCGCATATCCAATCGGCATCTACTGAGAGGGGCGAAGAACCATGCACCATGTACTAGTTGCTCACTACTAGACACTTCAAAAGTGGCTGCTGTCTATACCACGTCTGCAATCGTATTTTGCCCAGCCATTCAGCTTTATTTGGACCCATATATCCTCAGAATAAGGAGAATTAAGCCAACCGCAGCCTATGTCAAGATTACCACGCGGAGCCCAGACCCAAAAAATAACTTTAGTATCGCTAGGAACGCTTTTAGTTGGCATAGAGCTGTTTTGTTACTTTATTCTTATTAGCAGCGCAAAATATTTTGCAGACACGGTGTAGCGCTCGTGATTAAATAGTCACGTGACTATAACGCGGTCGCGCGGCTTGAGTGCAACTGCTGCAGCATGCAATGGTGGGGAAGGGGTGCGGTGGGGGATGTGGCTTGGCCCATGCTCCAACTTCAGCGCGCTGAATCAGAAACGTACACGATACAATAAAAGCATCGAATCTGAATCCCCACAATCATATAGGTAGAATATTTTGGGTGGATTAGGCAGACACCCAACTTACACCCATCGTTGTAGCCACCTTAACAGCTTGGGTAGCAAGTGCTGTTGCCTTCGCACAGAAAATACGTGGCTATACTGTAGTAGCACCTACTTAAACCTGTCGCATCGTTCATCGTTACTTTCGTCGCAAGATGTTCAACCGAGATCGAGTACCTGGTCTTCCTGGAAGCTCTCCACGACCTCCACCGCGCAACGAAGGCTACGGACAGCCACAGCAACCCCCACAGCAGCAGCAACAGCCGCCGCGTAACTACGACCCCAGAATGGCTGGATACGGCGGTGCTCCTCCACCCGCTGTTCAACGTATGCCAGTGCCTGCGAGGCAAGGCGGCGGACCTGCGAGGCAATTGCGCCCAATCAAGAGCCCAGGAGGCAACGCTTATGCCTTTGGCAATCTGTATGTATACATCTCGTAGTTTCAACATTTATGTGCCTCCTTCTGACATATATACACAGGGTCGCAGTGTCTCCTCAGGACTTCCAACCAAACCCCGACGGTTCCGATATCTATATCCTCGTTAACGGCAACTTTGCCCTCTCTGCACGGCCTACACAAGGATGTCCACCAGGTGAAATCGGCCTTACCGACGCACAAAGAACATGGGCTGGCATATCTCTTGGTCCTCAGGAGGTAGTTACGGTGGCGCAGTATGACCACTTCAGTCAAAGTCAAGGAAAGTCCTACTTGGGGACGCTCGAGGTCGAGGTCGGATTTGCGGCAAGAAAGACTACAGACACACCCTATGATCAGGACGAGCTTGCTACATTCTTCAAGAAGAGCTTCGAGAACCAAATCCTAGCTCCTGGCCAACAATTGCTTCTCGATGTAAAAAACATACCCCTCAGGCTATCTGTCCGGACAGTACAACTTGCAGACTTATCCATGGAGAAGGAGGAGACTGATATGCCCCCCATCACTGATCCACGAGCTCGCGGTATCCTTACAAGACACACCCAGGTCGACTTTTTCAAGGATGCTCGGTCAGAGCTCAAAATCAAAGCGTCAGCGAAGCGCGCGGCAGCAAACTCCATCATTCAGCCAGGTTTCAAGTTCGAGGATATGGGTATTGGTGGACTGGATACTGAGTTCAGTGCCATTTTCAGAAGAGCTTTTGCTTCCCGCATCTTCCCTCCTAATGTTGTGGAGAGACTAGGCATCAACCATGTGCGTGGTTTGCTTTTGTATGGCCCTCCGGGAACGGGTAAAACCCTGATGGCGAGGCAAATTGGAAAGATGCTCAATGCTCGTGAGCCCAAGGTCATCAACGGTCCCGAGGTTTTGAACAAGTATGTCGGAGCGTCCGAAGAGAATATTCGGAAAATGTTCGCAGATGCAGAGAAGGAACAAAAGGAGAAGGGCGACGAAAGTGGACTTCACATCATCATTTTCGACGAACTAGATGCCGTCTGCAAGCAGAGAGGGTCTGGTAGTGGCGGCGGCACCGGCGTAGGTGACAGTGTCGTCAACCAGCTGCTGTCCAAGTTGGATGGTGTGGAGCAATTGAACAACATCCTTCTCATCGGTATGACGAACCGAATGGACATGATTGACGAGGCTCTCCTGCGCCCTGGTCGTCTTGAGGTCCATTTGGAGATTTCATTACCTGATGAATCGGGCCGTGCCCAGATCTTGAAGATTCACACCACCAAGATGCGAAAGAACAACGTCCTGGAATCGGATGTTGACGTTGAAGAGCTAGCAAAACTTACCAAGAACTTTTCCGGAGCCGAGCTGAATGGTCTAGTTAAGGCAGCAACATCGTATGCCTTTGGTCGTCATCTTCAGGGTGGTACTACAGTCAAAGCGGATGTCGAGAATATGAGGGTCATGCGTCAAGACTTCATAACCGCACTTGACGACGTGAAGCCGTTATTTGGTGTCGCCGAAGAAGAACTTGGTAAACGAGTGATGCGTGGTATCATCCACTTTTCGCCCTTCATCAGGGATATCTTGGAAGATGGGCGTCTTTACATCAACCAAGTCAGAAACTCGACATCTACCCCATTGCTACCAGTCCTTTTGCACGGCCCGCCTGGTTCTGGAAAGACTGCATTAGCTGCCAAGATGGCAATGGATTCGGGCTACCCCTTTATCAAACTGATTTCGGCTGAAGACATGATTGGCTATAGCGAGTCGCAAAAGGTACAGCATCTTGATAAGACATTCAGGGATGCCTACAAAAGTCCATTGAGCATCATAGTTCTCGATTCTATTGAGTCAATGCTGGAATGGGTCCCGATTGGTCCTAGGTTTAGCAACACTGTTTTGTCTGCGTTGAAGGTGCTCCTTGGCAAGGTACCACCAAAGGTAAGTTGCTGCAAGAGATGGGATGTGAGGAACCAAGCTAACGACGTCAGAATCGCCGCTTGCTAGTGTTTGCTACCACAACTCAACGCTCAGTGCTTGTTCAGCTTGAGCTTTTTGCTCGCTTCAAAGCTGATATTGCTGTCCCCAACGTCAACACTCAAGGAGAACTCGCAAATGTTCTCAGTGAGTCAGGCGCCTTCTCAGATTCGGACCAGCGACGTGCTATCAGTGAGATCGAAGAGATTACTGGAAGTAAGGAGATTGGGGTGGGCATTGATAATATCCTTAGCGGTATCGAAACTGCGAAGCAGGATCAGGATGTCCCTGGCCGATTCGCCCGATACATGTCAAGTGCAATTGCGGCGAACAAGACTTTTTAGTCGGATCGCAGCTACATGGAAAGGGCTAAACAATGCTTTCGGATTGTTTCATGCGCAGCATACACCCGGCATGCTGTGGTACGGTCGTGATCGAGCTCAATAGACCAAGGGGCGACCCGCAATCGAGCTGGTAGAACAAAGCTGGAAATCCAATTGCTACCAAGGAATTGATTGAAGAAGGGAGTCATTATCCAGCAGATGGTAGCTATCGATATACAGTAGAGTTAGGGCGGCACGGGCTGTTTATATTTGTAGAGTCCGTAGATTCTATGTCGAACATTGCCTTCATGATAATTGTTGTGTTGCTTATATGGTTTCCTCTGTCGTGGCTAGATACAGTGAATTTTGGCCCAGAATTCTCTACGGTAGTGAAACAAGAAGAAAATAAGAAAGCTTCTTTAGCACTAAAACTTAAACTCCTTCCAACAAATCGAAGGTTTACAGAAAAGACAATTTAATTTAAATATAGAAATGATCTTCAAAATCAGTCCTCTTAGTCTCGGTGTTACTTTAATTTTAGAAAGCGAGAGATTTTAACTCTTAAACTTACAAATTCCTTAGTATCGTGGTACAAAGAAAATGTAGCATCCGGAAGAACACCCACTGCGCCACCTCTCCGAACATTGCCTAGCGGCTCAAATCGTCGTACTCGTCTGGTGTTCAGTTGCTTTCACTCTGAGGCAGCTCCATAAAACCCCTAATTCTCTAGTACGAAGGCGGACAAAGTACTGAACAAAGGTACTAAGACAAGCCCTTCGTTTCTCGTCATCGCACCTGGAAGACCCACCCGACATGGTACAACATTGCACTACCTACATGCACTCCCCACCCACCTTGTTACCGTTTTTGTCCCGAAGGTTGCCGAGTTTCCGTCACTTGTCAGGTCATTTTTCGATAACCTCACATCTGACATGCCTGTTTCCCTGACCCCCTGAGACTTTCCATGTTGTACACGCGAGATACACGTCTTCTTCCCTCCCCCCCTTTGTTCGCCTCATTTGGAGCAAGAAAGCTTGATAGCTCTTCTTCCGTCCCTTCTGATTCCCCATAAAATTCTGTAAAAACCAGCTTGGAGATACAATAGTAGGATTAGAAAGGGAGGGTTCCACGCTACCTGCACCTGTCAGGTACTTACCCAAAGAAGGCTGATGTCGTACTTGGGCCGCTTTGCTTCCGCTGCCTGGTACAAGTATTTCTCCCCCCTCCCCCCCTTCGCCAACCCCCTTGCTTGTGTCTGATGAGAGAGAAAAAAAAGGGGGGTGGGGGAGTAAGACAAAGTGGCAAGGATTTAATCATGGAGCTTATGTACATAGGCGAAGAGCAAGGCGTGCAATGGTGCTGGAGAGGGCTTGGAAGGGGTAGTTGTGAGGCAAGGATAACTTTACAACATTGCCCCTCTTTTGCTTGCTAAGGACGAGGAAGGGTGGAGAGATCTTGATTCTTCTTCTTCTTTTTTACAGAATACGTGTTATACTGTGTTGGGGGAAATATCATCATTATTTGACTTTCAAGCCTGCATACACTTCCATTAGAGTTTGGCTGTGTTTTTGTTGTTGGGAGTGGGGAGTATGTCGGGCTTGATAATCTCCGAGGTGGTACCCGGTCTTCCTGATGTTTTCTTTTTCCTTTTCGTGCATGCAGGTATGAACGTGGGGGGTTTGTGGATCTACTGGTAGGGCGAGGACGGGGCTTGACTGTGGGGGTGGCCATGGCACGAGTTGCTTGTGCATGCATGGGTGGGCACGTTGCATATCCCCTCGGGCAGTTGACGACTACGTACATACATATGTACATATACGACTCTCACCACTTTCTCGAAGTAGGATATACGAAAACAGTGCGTTTCATCCAGTCACGCTACGACTGGAAAGGAATGGTATATCGCTTCACATGTCTTAGGTGGACTGACTGCCCCACAGGGAAGAGCTTCCCATATTCATCACATGAGCCGTTACATCAACGATTTGAGTAAGATTTAAAAACTACAAAGGCCGTACCAAGGAACATCCCCGTGGCTACCCACCCCAGTGTTAATCCAAAAGTCCCGATATCATCATGACGCCAACCTAAACACAACCAGTCCCCAGCCCAAGAAGACAAAGGAAATATGAAACAGGCGCTTTCCCGCCACCCAGAAACCATCCGGATGGATCGAGGCGCTATTTTTCAGCTCTAAGCGAATGAGCAAGCTCACCAGCTCCCCCTCTGCACCTAGCGAAGCGACCGTCCTCTAGGAGATACGTCAGCTACCCGCCCCGTTCCTGACCCAAACGCCATCCAAAAGCCGCGATTCGTTCGCTAGCTGTCAGCAGGCGCGTAGCACTTGCATCAGGCAACGGGCCGAACCGCGTCACAGTTCCTGAAAAAGAAAAGCTGGCGTGTGGGACGCTAAAAGCAGCGAGGCCGGCTGCCGAGGGTGGAGCACAGTGGAGCGGAAATTGGGAACGACAGGTCGCAACGTCGAGCTTGTTCCTGGAATCCGAACATCGCGAAAAAGGTGCTGGAACATTTTTTGAAAATAGAGAAAACCGATAAAGCGCTGGGGAATGGTAAAGTGACCGAATGCCGCCCATAGTTCAGAAAACCCGGAAAACGTATATTGGTGTCATCCACAGTGCGGTAAGCGAAATTCGAGAAGTGTCGAATCGATTTAGAAGTCGACTGGTGCTGGGTACCGGCTTTGTGCGGTGCGGAACTGCTCTGGGTACTTGCGTGCCGCTCGGTTGTTCAGTGAGCTGTCGGAGGCGTTAGTTCGTTGCTTGAATTTGGCTATCATTGTAAACCTACTCGACTCGCTTCTGAGTCCATTGCAAATCCTTCTGTACATCCTTTGCAGCCTTCATTCCGTCTGCGAAGCTCATGCGAGCACCAGCCAATCTGCGCTGCGCCAGTGCTTGTAGCTCAGAAAGCTCGCGTTGCTTAGCATTCAGTTCACCGGACCTGGGTACAATGTCAGTTACACGACTCTAGTCGCAGTCGGGTGATTCAGAATACACTGATAGAAAGAAACCTACGTTTGTGCCTGCTTTGCAAGACTGCGATCTAGTGGCATTGGATCGAAAGAGCCGTTCACACGGCGACCCATGTAATCGAGGAGATCCACGCTGGCGGCGCCGCTAGTGGATTCATAATCGCTTGCACTGCCAGCGTAGTTGCTAGAGGTGGATGACGGCTCGTACGACGGCACACCAGATGTCGTAACGCTGTTTGGAGCCTCGGGTGGTGATCCTGACACGCGTCCATAACCATGTTGTTGGGCCGGGAAGAAAAATCCGGGCTTTTGTGGCATGTTGATTGGGTAGGATGCTTGGGGCAGATTGTAGAAGGAGTGTGAAGAGGCCATTTTGGATAATACTATATTCCTCTGTGTGCTGAAACGGTGTGTAGAGTAGTGTACTGGCGAAGAGTGCAAGTGGTCAGATAGTGTTGGTGGTTGGCCAAGGTGTCGAAGTGGAAAGCCAAGACAGTGATCCAGATGGGACAAAGGTATGATGATATTCTCAGAAAAGTGAATAGAGAATCAGAAAGATCAAGCCAAAGTCCAGCAAAAGGAGCCCTTTTTATACCTTTCCATTGCAGGCATGCTAGGAGCATCACGGTCAACGGGGCATGGCTCTGACCCCCTTCATGCCGAGTGAAGGCCGCAACCCCGCCGTTATGGTGATAAAGCTGCATACGATTACATCCACTGAGGACGGCTCCCGCTGGTGCCGGATTGTAAAGCGTCATTTAGACTGGGCTGGACGGTGGCTCTTGGGCGTGGGCCGCAGCCGATCCACGATACCTCGGAGCGATAGTGAATGCTTGAGATGCCAATTGGCCCGTACAAGGAACTAGTGACAAGTGTCCTCAGCTCCAGCCGGCACAAAAGAGTCGGGGAGCGAATTGGCTTGCAATGGCAAAAAGTTGCGATTCTGGAGGCAGTGCCGTCTATGGCCGGCACCAAGGCATTGCTAAAGGCAGCGGGGCAGAGTAAGCGCAGCAGACGCAGACACAGACGCCATGTAAAAGCAGCGGCGGTGGAGAAGTGTACATACATGGGTAGGCTGCCGGACGGGCATGCTAAGTGTTGTCAAATTGATGCGTTGGCTCGACAGCTGCCAGCGCCATTGAGCATGCAATCTGGAGGGGGATGCAAAGGATCAGACAGCGCATGACACCAGTGGCGGCATGCGCCCAAAGAAGCTTGACGAGAGAATTGCGCGTACGAACATGGCGGGCAATTGGCAAGAGGGCGTGTACTGGACGACGAGATTTTTTTTTCGTGTAGTCATGGTCAAGGAAAGTCGTGGAGAAGGATGCGGGACTAGCAAAGCCCCGCCGAACTAACAGTCCGCCCCTCGGTGGTGCGGTGCGTCATGCTTGCGAGCAGCAACCCAACCCGACCAATGCACCTTGCTGCACCTCCACCTTGGCGCTCCAATGCCTCGAGCCCTTAGGTGCCATGTCTGCTCTGCGTAACCTCGTACTGCTTCTCGCACCAACATTCCCCAGACGTTCCCATGCTGCAGGTCAACTGCTCTCCAAGCATGGCAATAAGTGGTGGTGAGGGATCCCATCTAGCTCAGCTCTCGTCCAAGGACCACCGGCTTCGATATGCCTACCATGTCCTTGCACATAGTACTATCCAAGCCCTTTGTCCATGGAAGGCGTTACACTGGCGCTTCAACGGCGCGGAACAAGCCAATCCTATGGCACGGTTGTCAATGCCGTCCATGTGAGTTGCGCATGGTAGCTACTTTTAGGTCACCCTTGTACCCCTCGCCCCAGCGTCTGCCTTACATGAACACTTACCCGGGGGCCGAGAACTTGAACTCGACTCAACCAAGAACTTGAGCCCGGTCTGATCTCGTGTGCTTCTAGATGGAGTGTACGATACTTTGCCCAGCACCAGGCAGCGACATCTCTCACTTCCCGCTACCCTCTGATTGCAATTTGGGTTCCACAACCTCTAGGATCAGGTTGTATCAATTACACATGTACGATTTGTTCGGATGTTCTGACGGCCCAGACTGTGCTCTCCAATTGCTTGTCAGCGAGTGGTGTCGGACACGAGATACTAGTGGCAATGTCTTCCCAATGACTGCGACTTATAGCACTCAGTGACCACTATCGGATCCGATTGAAATAATGTTGGACAGCTCTTGAATTACACCACTACTTTCTTTTTTAGTCAGTTTGCCGATAAGCTAATGTCAATCAGTTCTCGACAATGTCTTTCAGCTGTTTGGTATGTTACAAATCATTTCAGCTTTTTCCAACCTGAAAAAAAAACACGGCCATAACTCGTACCACACTGATGGATGTGCAATATACACTAGTATTGACACAGGCGCAGGGATCTGAATATGCCGACGTGCGCAAGCACCCATGAAGCACCACCTTTTAGTCACTCTTAGGCCCCGATGGCTCTACAACGACACTTGGTAGAACACCATGGCAATATCAATCTCTTCAATGAAATGCCATAAATTTTTGATGCAATCTTGCCAGTAATCTGACTTGTGGAGTTGCTTGCATTCTATGTGCACACATCAGCAGCCATCGATGTCTTCTTTCACAGTCTGCAAACTTACATCATGCGCTGTTGCCTTTTCCGAGCTTGGCCCAAGGGTCCTCAACGAAGCTTGGTAGAAAATAGGCCGTGTCCCCGTTCTCGTCCTGAACTCCGTTATGGAGCGCATTTAGTTCTGCTCTCGGAATGGGAGGTCCGCCAAATGACATGGCTTCCATTGCAGACTGATCGTTCGGAGCAGGGCCATTAGCAGGGCTAAGGGGAGTTTCCGGAAGGGTTTGGCCACGTGCTAGGAAGCTGGCAAGACCCGAGTCTGTTGCCGGAATTTTCTTTGACGCAGCAGCTTCAGGCTCATCTGCTTCTCTGCTAGCAACTTTCTTCGTTCTAACCCCCAGTTTGGTGGAGTTTGCACCGCTTGCATCGGCCTTGGCCTTTGGTGAGTTTTCATGGTCGAATTTTCGCTTCTTGGCTCCCCCAAACGAGGAGAAGCCCATGGCCGCAGCTATATCGATGTCCTCTTCTTCGTCCATGACAGAGTGCGGGTCGGCTGTGTGATGCTTCTGCTCGACGAGTATATCTCCTAAAGACGAAAGCATAAAATGTCATGCGAAGTTAGATAAGAGGGCGCTAGTGAAGGGTACCTGCGCCAATCGGAGCGGGACTGTCTCCTACAGTGGGCCCCCTGGGTTGACAGCTCTTGAACAGTATCCGCCTGAGTGGAGTGGTAGCGCACTATCACCATGGAGACAATCACCCTCAGCGGGCATCTCACCACGTCATGCCACGAGCAGAGGTCGTGCGCAGGTGTACATGGACGAGCACGCGCGTAGCTCTGGCGGCCTTAGCGCCAGCGTCATCGCATCTGCGCATCGGCAGGATTCACCACCAACAACGCTTGCAACGCCTGCACAGCGCCAGATTCCATGCTGCTTCTCGCCATACTCTAGTCCTTCAAACGGACTCTAGGACACGCCATGCTCACCATGGAAAGCGAGACTTCGCAGAGCCCGGCGCAGCGCCGCTTCATGCGCCCCAGTGTAAGTCGCGTCTTGGGGCTTTAGGCACGCATGGATAGCTCACCACAAGCTACAGATGCGGTCGGCGACAATGATCCAGCCGAGAACTGGCGAACGCGTCAAGAAGGCCTTCACCCTGCGCAGATCTCGACATCGCCGCACCCGATCCGCCGAGATCCTCCTTGCTCCCGGCCAGTTCGAAACTGAGAGATACCGTGAGATGAGCAGGAAAGAGCTGCTTGTTGAGATGATCAAGTACAAGTTTCGACAAGGCTATGCATACACGACAAGCCAGACCGGCGTTGGCATCCTGAAATGTTCTCTGGCCTATGTACTCGGGTCGCTGGCTACCTTTGTCCCCTTCATAGCTGCACTGTTGGGTAGGAATGACGGCAAACACATCGTTGCGACAATTACCGTCTACTTCCATCCAGCACGCTCAGCCGGTAGCATGCTTGAGGCTGTCATGCTTGCCTTTGCCGCCTTTCTCTATGCTGCGGGCGTCTCCTTCTCCAGTATGGCCGTATCGGCCTACTTTGGGAACAATAACCTTCTAGTAGTTGGCCATGTCATAGTGCTCATTGTCTTCTGTGGAGGTGGTCTCGGGCTGGTTGGATGGACAAAACAAAGGCTCGGCAATCCGCTGGTCAATGTGGCCTGCTCCCTGACTTCCCTTGCCCTCATTACCATTTTGACGAAAGAGGGAGCTGTCCAGGCTGCTACATTCTCCTATGTCAAAATATGGCAGGTGCTAAAGATGGTTATCATGGGCTGTGCTGCATCGACAGCTGTGTCTCTTCTAGTAAAGCCAACGTCGGCGCGTAGCGAGTTCCGCGACACTTTTATCAAGTCCACCGATGCCATGGCAGAGATGTTAAACGGCATTGCGCTCAGTTTCCTCTCCGGGTCTGAACAAGACCTCAAGAGCGACTCGTATGTCAAAGCTTCAGATCGGCTGCAAACGACGTTCAAATCCCTAATTAAGAATCTTGGGGAAGCCAAGTTTGAACACTATGCGTTGGGCACTGAAGCAGAGTATAAGATCAACGCAAGGCTGGTCAAATGCGTTGAGACGCTGATGCAGAGTTTGGGTGGATTGCGAAGTGCTGCCGAGACGCAGTTTACGTTACTTGCTCAGCCGGCGCCCGATGAGGCAGCTTCTCAGCCTATGCCTACCAATGGAACGGTCACTTCTTCGATCTTCTCAGAACAAGCCATGTCGCAAAGTCCTCAGCTGATTTCTCCCACGCTAAGGCATTCAGATAGGCGGGGCAGCATGCTCGCCTCTATCGATGAATTACCAGAAAGCTCCAACGCGTCCGCGATCTGCTCGGCTGCTGAATCCGACGACGAATCCAATCCAGTGAATCAAATGCTGGCCAAATCTATCAATCTCTCAAAGTCCAACCTCACACCTGCTGACATCTTTTCTGTCTTCATAGCTCAGTTGGGCCCACCAATGGTGAGTCCAAAACTCCGGGTTTTCTTACACGGCTAATCAAATTAGAAATCACTTGCATACACCCTACGTGAAGTGCTTTCTGAATTACCATTTGGACCTGGACCAGAGTACAACATGGCTATCAACGAGCACTTCCGGCACAGCCTAGTAGATGCGAAGGCTCTCTTCGCGGACGCACGACGAGAGGCTCTTTCAGGTATCTACACAAACAAAATTCCAACTAGGACAAGCTCGGCAGCAGTGGCAGCCGACTTTGAAGAGGTTGCCGCAAGCTGCGGGTACTTCAGTGCGTCATTGATTGATTTTGCTGAAGATATGGTGGGGTTCCTTGACATTCTTGAGGAGCTCAAGGCCAATGTCAATCGCTATCCGCGGCAGAGAACTTACAACTGGCTGAAGTTCTGGAAAACTTGGCACAAGAAGAGCTATTCTGGCGACGACTCCGAAGTGGCTAATTTTATGCAAGAAACAGACCCCCAGACAGTGGGAGGCTCGCGCGAAATTCATAATCCTATTTACCGGAAGTCGACACGTGGAGATCCGTACAAGCCAGAAAATGAACAGCCACTATCCTACAGAATATGGACGTCACTTGCCGTCTTTAGAAGAGACGACCTCAAATATGCTGTCAAGGTTGGCATTGGTGCAGTACTCTGGGCTATGTGGTCCTTCATTTCATCGACAAGAGGCTATTACAGTCGGTGGCGTGGCGAGTGGGGTCTATTGTCGTACATGTTGGTTTGCTCTATGACCATAGGTGCTTCCAACACTACAGGGTACCAGCGTTTTGCTGGTACCTGTCTGGGTGCTGTGCTAGCAATTGCTGCATGGATCGCAGCTGATGAACACGCTCTTCTCCTGGGCTTTTTTGGCTGGCTCATTTCCCTGTTCTGCTTCTACATCATTGTCGGCAAGGGCAAGGGACCTATGGGTCGTTTCATCTTGCTGACGTACAACCTTTCTGCGCTCTACGCCTACTCTCTTTCCGTTAAGGACGACGAGGATGACGATGACGAAGGTGGCATCTCACCTGAAATATGGGAGATTGTAATGCATCGAGTGGTTGCTGTTATGGTTGGTTGCCTTTGGGGTATTATCGTAACAAGGATAATCTGGCCAATTTCTGCACGCCGTAAGCTCAAGAAAGGCACGTCCTTGTTGTGGCTCAAGATGGGATTGATATGGAAACGCGGGCCACTTAAGACTGTCCTTGAATCCAATGAGCACACAAGCAGGACACAGTCGTTCATGTCCGAACGCGAGGAGATTGAACTTCGGAGATATCTATCTCATTTGGAGACACTGCGCGTAGCGGCTGCCGCGGAGTTTGAGCTCAGAGGCCCCTTTCCTAATAGGAGTTTTCAGATTATCCTTGGTGCGACCAGTCGCCTACTGGACAGTTTTCACGCAATGAATGTGGTCATACTAAGAGAGTTGAAAGCGTCGGATGGTGAGAAGGAGGCTCTGAGTTATACAAAGAAAGAGTGGACAGAGCTGAGTTGGCGTATCAGTCATTTGTTCTCAGGTAAGCTTTATACTAGGTCATAATTGAAGTTGGATGCTAACAAGTGACAGTCATGGCCTCCTCTATGAAGCTAGCATACCCGCTCAATGATGTTCTACCCAACATCGAACACACACGTGATCGGTTGCTTGCCAGAGTCTTCGAGTTTCGACAGCAGGATCTCGGCAAAACCATTGCTACGGACGAAGATTACGAGTTGTTGTATGCCTATGGTGGGTCCTTACTGTTTACACTTGTGATTGGTCACTGCCACTAACTTCAATACAGCATTGGTGACTGGACAACTCGCGCACGATTTGAACGTTATCGGACAGGAGATCGAGAAACTATATGGTATCCTGAGCGAAGAGGACCTGAAGTTGCAGTAAGAATGCATCGATTCGCTACTTAATGAACTATTTGTACGCTAAGTGTTGATCACGTCTAATGTCATTACCAATGAGTTTGTACTCGAGAATAATTGGACATGTGCAAAGAGCTCCTTCAGATCTAGTGCGTGATGATGGCAAAATGACTCATAATGTGACGTCCTATACGTTATACCATATGTGTTTAGGGATAAGGCAACCGAATGCTATACACCAATCATCATGGATACGAACAGCAAGTTGCTATTTGCACGTGCTTGCGTGATGCTCAATTGGTGACTAGAGACATCTTGACGTAGAGATTCCATATTATCGGTATTTGTTCACCAGAAATAGAGTACACGATACCCAAAAGGCATCCAGGCGCTCTTGTCTCAGAACCTCTGGTGTCATGGTGCCCGTAGGCGCAGTGCAATGCTTTCGCGGTGCGTAACTTGAATAGCATAGATTTGTCCCGTGATTATTGTCAGATGTATCTGATTGAAGAGATGACAATGCCACGCAAATATGACCGGCGTATTGATGTGCATATACCCAATGGGCTTAGCAGAGCCATTGCCATGCATGCGAGACACCTGCTGAGCATCTAGTCGCCGTTGTGTTGGTGGGAATTTGGCTAGTGATCACGTGGTGGCCTTGGCGCTCTAAGCGATCACGCACCTGTGTTGGAAATTACCTCGCACCTCTCAGCTTCAACAACGGTAAGTCGACAACGACCGCGGACGACAACAACATCGAAAATGTAAGGACTCCCGAACAAATATCCTCCAGCACTGCTTCGAAGAGCAAATCCGTTCCTGCTGCACACTCGGCGCCTCGCATTCGTGCCTCTGAGGCGCTTGTGCAGTGGCGAACCCCTCTTCCGACGACCACCTCCTCCGTCGCCAACAATCGCACAAATGATCAAAATACTGACATGGGATGTTTCATAGGGTCAACCTCCGCACTCAGAAGCGCCTCGCGGCCTCCGTGGTCGGTTGCGGAAAGCGCAAGATCTGGCTCGACCCCAACGAGGTCAGCGAAATCGCCAACGCCAACTCCCGCCAGACCGTCCGCAAGCTCGTTCAGGATGGCCTCATCATCCGCAAGCCCGTCACCATGCACTCTCGTGCCCGCGCCCGGGAGCTGAACGCCGCCCGACGAATTGGCCGACACCGTGGTTTCGGTAAGAGGAAGGGTACCAAGGACGCTCGTATGCCAAGGTATGCAATCACGTTGCCTTTTTAATGCCGGATATGGGGACGAGGAAACATTTTTGGGAGATCATGGACAATGGGAACCGTTCACTAATGCGGATGTGCAGCCAAATCGTCTGGATGCGCCGTCTCCGTGTCCTCCGCCGTCTCCTCGTCAAGTACCGCGCCGCCGGCAAGATCGACAAGCACCTCTACCACGAGCTCTACCTCCTCTCCAAGGGTAACACCTTCAAGCACAAGCGTGCTCTCGTTGAACACGTATGTTGACCATGACATCATGACTATGTCAATTCCCCGCTCCATGGTCGATAACTAACGCACATCTCAGATCCACAAGGCCAAGGCCGAGAAGGCCCGCGAGAGGGTCATCAAGGAGGAGATGGACGCCAAGCGTGCGAAGACCAAGGCGGCTCGCGAGAGGAGGCAGGAGCGTATCCAGCAGAAGCGCCAGGCTCAGCTGGGCGACGAGGAGTAAAGAATGGATGTCGTGACGAACACCTGGCGTGGGTCTTTTCAAGGTTAAAGGAGGGCGTCAATCTCCTTTTTATCTGGGCATATGCGGTCATGTTTCATGTTACGTCTGTGAAGGACTCTTCTCTCCATGCATATTCGACCGACAAGGGTGCCCCCTCTCTGATTTTCGATGCTATGACTGTACCAAAAATAAAAGGGATATGAGCATCGGCATTAGAAACCAGTAGTCAAACTTGGAGTTGGTCTGCTTTGATCCATTGAATATGTTTGTGGCCTTTGTGATGGTATGATGCCATTGCTATATGTGCTCAATGAATGCTACTGGTCAGGCAAAGCAAGTGACAGTAATAAGATTGATCGATTACAAAGTCCCCCGAGTGCTTCTTTCACAAGTAACACAATACACGCCTATTGCCTGCACAGGGTATCAATGAATCTCTAACGCCCAATGTAAACGCCATGTCGCCTCCCAACTCCCATGTGTTGTCTCATGTTTAGATCTGTAAAAACAGTTAGCATCCATGCTTGTACCGATGTGATCCTAGCTACTCACCAATTTCAGGGCGCTTCTATGCACAGCCCGTGTAAAGTTGAGCATAGCCTTGGCCTTATTGTTGCCCCTCTGGAGCCTCCTGTAGGCCTCTTGCACATGGCTCGGCTGCACCGGTTCCCTAGCCTCCTCTGGCGGATCAAACAAGCCTCGTTCCCGCTTCCTCTTAAGGCGGTTCTGCTCGCCACCGTGATTCTTCTTGTACAAATCCTCTGCATCTTTGACCTTGAGCGCCTCCTCGGTAAGCGTCTGGACAATCTCAAACGTCAAGAAACCTAGGATATCAATGATATCGTCCGAGGGTTTGGAGTCGGTGATGAGGCCGAAGCCCGCCCATTCCTTGAAACGCTTGCTCTTGCGGTAGGTGAAGGATGCTTGACGGCAGTCAGACCAGTGCACGTATTCCTCACGTGTCATGTTCTTTGTGCGCTCGTCTGCGTTCTTGAGGCGCTGCAGGGTGGCGTAGTTCATTTCCTCTTCCTCTTCATCTTCCACATCGTCTTTTTGCGGGGGGAACTCGGTAAAGAAGGATTGAACGTCCCAGACGAGATCGACTTTGGCTCGCTTGGCTTTCTTGGAGGCGTCGACGGGTGCGGCACCAGGTCCGCCTGCGCCTACTACGCCGACGGCTATGTCTGCATCTCCGGCCCCGACGTCGGCGCCTGCATCGCCGCCTTTGTCGTCGGAGTCTTTGACGGAGCGTCGGACATCTTTCCACTGGAGGAAGTGGCGGAGACGCGAGATTTTGGCGCGGTCATGCCGGATGAGCATGAATAGGTCGTCTGTAGAGATGGACTTGGAACCACGGCGGGTGGCGAGGGCAGTGCATTCACGCAACATGTGCTGTACTTGGTCTTGTACGATCGACTCGATCAAGGTGGTTGTTTCGGGTGAGGGTTCGCCAGTCTCACCAGAGACGAACATCATCTGCTCGACGGTTAGGCCCAGGCCAACTTCCAACGGGAATATATCATCTGATGATAGACTTGGAGGCATTGGTGGCGACGGAAGTGATGAGGATGATGCTGGTGAGGCCATGATACTGGCTTGCTACAAGGTAGGTGGGGATACGAGATTGAGTTGAGGAAATGGATGAAGATAAGGTTGGCCCTGGCTTGTTGCCTATGACCTCTACCCAGAACTCGGATACAAACATGTTGGGTTAGGGGGGGAGACAGGCGGAACAAAGGTGAACAAAAATAGGCTGCTCTGGCCCGCATAGATAGATGCGAAGTAAGAGAAGGGCGAGTGGCCTGTACTCGGATCGCCTTCTCCATAAGAGATACAAAACAAAATATAGTTCAATCGAAGCGACAGCTCATATTCCGACGGTGCGCATATGGAGCCTGTCGCAAATAGGAAAGAAACCCATAGATGAGATAAACAAGGTATGTGATAACGAAATTTACTCTGGTTTTCCACATTCCTTCTCTTTCTCTCATGTAGTCTCCAGGAAAGCGAAATAGCGAAATGAATAGATAAATGTACAACAAAATGAGATGAACTAACCTGCTGGATCTCCGTCCGATACTTCGCCAACTTATCCTTGTCCGACATGATGGCTGACTTTCCGCACCCAAGACTCTAGAAATCATATAAGACGTGTCGCGCGATCAACAAAGTTCTATGGCACAGAAATTAGATTATAACAGGCGCTATGTTTGGCGGTGGGCGTGAATGAAGGCCAGGTTGCCGACGCGGTTTGCGGTCTGCTAGCGTGATCTCAAACGATGCTGGGCCTCCTGCAACAACGCTAGGCCGAAACGGGCTCAGCCCTACGAGCCCAAATGGGCCCCCGCCAACTTTTTTGTGAATTTGGACGCATACCCCACCATCACCGATAATTTATTCACCAAATCTGTCAGGAATTTCCAAAAATGCTGTACCTTGTGGGTCTCGGCCTGGCGGATGAGAAGGACATTACTGTCAAGGGTTTGGATATTGTGAAGAAGGCCGAGCGCGTCTATCTCGAGGCATATACGGCGGTACTGCTCGTGGAGAAGGATGTGCTTGTGAGTTACAGACGAAGTGAATAGACAAAGCGCTTGATATCTAATTGTCACGGCAGTAGGAAGCATTCTATGGCCGCGAAGTCATCATTGCGGACCGTGAAATGGTCGAATCTTCAAGCGACGATATCCTCAAGGACGCCGACAAGGTCGACGTCGCATTCCTGGTAGTAGGGGACCCATTTGGGTAAGGAATCTGGTGGTGGTGGTCATTGCAGTCATTTCTGACATTACCGCAGCGCGACCACGCACACTGACCTTGTCCTCCGTGCCCGCGAACTCTCCATTCCCACCCGTTCGATTCCCAATGCCAGCATTCTCACTTCCATTGGCACCACTGGCCTGCAACTCTACAACTTCGGACAAACCGTATCCATGGTCTTCTTCCTCGACAACTGGAAGCCCGCTTCTTTCTACGACCGCATAAAAGAAAATGTTTCCATCGGCTTGCACACGCTTGTGCTCTTAGATATCAAGGTCAAGGAACAGAGTCTAGAGAACATGGCCAGAGGACGCAAGATCTACGAGCCACCGCGGTACATGTCAGTCGCACAGTGCGCGCAGCAGATGCTGGAAATTGAAGAGGATGTGAAGCAGGAGGGCGCATACACAAAAGACAGTCTGGCTGTTGGTGTTGCGAGAGTAGGAGCAGAGGACCAACAAATCGTTGCAGGAACACTAGAACAGCTTTGCGAAGCGGATCTAGGCAAGCCACTGCATAGTCTGGTGCTGCTGGGCAAACGTACGCATGACCTTGAGAGGGATTTCCTCGAGGAGTTTGCTGTGGACAAGGAGAAGTTCAAGGAGATCTGGAAGAGGGATTATGAGGGAAAGTCATGAAAAGCCGGCAACATGTCGTCTCCCTTCATCGAAAGATATAAATATCGCTAGTCAGTGGCATACTACTGCATCTATGAGATATGGTGACACCCTGGGGCTACTATCCAGTAACCAAGCCAACCCCCAATACCGCTTTCTACTGTATTGTACAAAACATCGCATCACACTCACTTCTCATATCCTTCTTCTTCACCCACGTCCCTTCCTCCTTTCCCTGTCCCTTCCTCTCTTTAATCATTTTTTCTCTCTCACATGGACTCGGCCCTCCGTGTTTTCCGCACTCGAAATCAATCCATCTACATTTGATAGTGGGCGCCGCACAAGTCTCATCGATCTTTTGTGCATTCCTGCATTCATCCATATATTCGTCTGTGCAGGGAAGGTCACCTTTGAGCCCGCGCCCATACCCTTTGCGCTCACAGCGTGTGTAATGTGTTTGGTATGTTGTGCACATTTTCGTGTGATTCTAGGTGGTTGAGTTGGTGACCGGGGATGCGAAGATAGGAAGAAGTCTCTCTCTCTCGCTATATATATATATATATATATATATTATACTTATGGGTGTATCATGGTGATGGTGTGCGAAAGTAGAAGATGGAGAGGTATGTGAAGTGTTCCAGCCGCAAGGAGTGTGCATATATTCAATCACCTTCAGATTCCTTCACTTACTGCGGTTTTATGAATGCTCTTTTATTGATTGTGTTTTTCAACTTTCTTTGTCCTAGATATAGTCATGATCGAAGTTGTGACTTTGCTTTGAAGTTTGCATCGTGATTCCCTTCTAATGACGCGCCGCTACCAATCAACGTAACATCATCTCAGCTAGTTCTGCACATTAATTCTAAAATGTGTATCTATTCAAGCTGACTCAGGTACGCCAAGTGCCCCGTCTGAATACGTAGAGGGGCCGCCGCAGTACCACAGGAGCAGTATTATCTGACGTCATACTTAATCACCATTGGTTAATCCGGTGATGCTTCCATCATGCTCCAGTTTCCACGACTTTCTTGCTTATATCCCTCAAGAATCCGACTATTCCGACTCGACGATTCAGCGGCATGTCAAAACCTAACGTTGATATAAACGACCTCAATTCCCCTGGTGCAAAACTTCTTCAAGATATCATTGGTACACATACGTCTCATGCACCTTTACCCGTGGAAAGAAACAGCGGCACAGAATTATATCGAAAACTCAGTGACAAAGAAGACAAGATGCAAGATACAGCGTCGCAGCTCGATAAACCAGGCTTACTGCGGTCAAGTTCGAGACGCACAGCAAACGGATACATGCCCATCGAAGATTATGGGCTGATCGGGAATATGCGGACTTGTGCGATGGTTGCCTTGGATGGCGGAATTGATTACATGTGCTGGCCATACTTTGACTCGCCGTCCGTCTTCTGTCGTATTCTTGACAAAGAAAAGGGTGGCCACTTCACTATTGGTCCAACCAATGACGACTTTTGTACTACGAAACAACAGTATCTTCCCGCGAGCAACATTCTCCAGACGCGCTACTTGAAGGAAGAGGGCGTCATGAATGTGGTGGATTTCTTCCCGAGGCCAAATGACAAGAACTGGGATGCCCAGTTCCATGCTAATGTCATCGCGAGTGAGCACAATGGCAATGTGCCCGAGCGTCCCGATTTGAAGAAGTGGCTTGTTAGGCGAGCAGAATGCATGAGAGGCACCGTCGGGGTGAGTGTACAGGTGTTCCCTGCATTCAACTATGCTCGGGACAAGCACACTACCGAGATCACCGACCTGGGCAAGACTCCACAGGGGCAGAGCCTACAGCGCGTGATCTTCAAGTCGAAAGATCTATCTCTGGAATTGAATGTGACCATCGACTGTGGTGATGACCCGGAAGCGTCATGTCCAAGAATTGCTTTTGAGAAGACGCCCGAGCCCCAGAATCTGGGGGATAGTGTCACGGCTACTTTTACACTGACCGAGGGGCAGATAGTGTCCTTTATTTTGCGCGATGCGGAAGATCACAGCCCAGACATCATTGAAACCAGTCAAGTTGTTGCGTTGCAACAGAGCACTCATAAGTATTGGGCTAGATGGATCCAGCAAAGCAAGTATGCGGGTAGATGGGAAGAGATTGTTACGAGGAGCCTGCTTCTCTTGAAGATGTTGACATTTGAGCCGAGTGGAGCAATCGTTGCTGCACCGACGTTCTCTTTGCCAGAGGACTTTGGGGGTATGTCGCCTGCAGAAGTGATGAAGCATGTACTGATATGGTATAGGATCACGCAATTGGGACTATCGCTACTCATGGGTGCGAGATGCCTCTTTTACGATATACATCTTTCTGCGAATGGGTTTTAGCCATGAAGCCGAAGCCTACGTCAGTTACATCTTCCAGCGCGTGAAGGAGGCCAAAGCGCGCCACGGGGCGCTTCCAATCATGTTTAGTATCCATGGAGCAAGCGACTTACCCGAGGTTGAGCTTCCACACTTGGAAGGCTATAGATCGAGTCAACCTGTCCGTATTGGGAATGGAGCGGCCTCCCATATACAGCTTGACATCTACGGTGAACTGATGGATGGGATCTATCTCGTAAATAGATTCGGACGTCCAGTTTCGTACGATCAGTGGCTTTCAGTTCGGGAGATTGCGGATTACGTCTGCACCATCTGGAAGGAGCCAGATATGTCAATCTGGGAGGTTCGTGGTATGAAGCAGAACTTTGTCTATAGCAAGATGATGTTGTGGGTAGCGCTTGACCGAGCGTTGCGCCTTGCGGACAAGAGGAGCTTCCCGTGCCCGCACCGGGCAGAGTGGTACCGAGTACGTGACGAGATTTACGAAGAGATTATGGAAAAGGGATACAACTCCGAGTTGGAGTGCTTCATCCAGAGCTACGAGTCGAATGAAGTTCTGGATTCGGCTGTGCTAATAGCGCCTCTGGTCTTTTTCATAGCGCCAACGGACCCTCGCTTCCTGAAGACGCTTGACCGGATACTAAAACCTCCTGAGAAGGGAGGCTTAACTAGCACTGGCCTGGTATTCAGGTACAACCACGCGCTTAGTGACGACGGTGTAGGCGGGCAGGAAGGCAGTTTTTCCATGTGCACTTTCTGGCTGGTTGAAGCACTCACACGGGTAAGCACTCCAGTTTCCTACATAACCGCTATTCTATTCGCGTGTATCTTTGTCTAACGAAAGCAGGCTGGAGCGTATGACGACAAGTATCTTTTGCAGGCTGTGACGATGTTTGAGAGTATGTTGAGTTTTGGAAATCATTTGCACATCTTCTCCGAGGAGATTGCGCGATCAGGAGAACAGCTGGGCAACACTCCACAAGCATTTAGCCACTTGGCGTTGATATCTGCAGCATTCAACTTGAACAAGACGTTGAGCAGCCGGCACCGGTAGAGGGGGCGGTATTGAGGGTTGGCGGAGGACATAGATAGAGCCACGCAATGCAGTATTATTAGTCAATACGAAACCGGGGCGAGTTGGTCTAGACGTCTACGCTAATGTGGAGGAACCACAATGATCAGCAATCAGTGCGTCATGGCTGCACTGCCCTCCATCTGGAATGAGATTCAATGTCGCTAAATTAATTGGGCTAGGAATTTACCGCCGGACGCCTTTGAGGGCGTGGCGCACACAACAGGTCGATCCCCTGACAGTGACACGCACAGTGCAGCGCACTGACTGGACAATCTCTTTCAACACATATCCCAGTCTCGAATGCCTTCAAACTTTCAGCAAGCCGCTCCAACGCATCGCCAGCAGGCCATGATATAGCATACGTTTTCCTTTCCGTTTCTATTCGCTTTTTTTGTCGACCATCAGCCAATTTGCCCTCTTCTTCCGGCCATTCCGCACCATCCGCACAACATACGTAGCGTCGTCATCGTTTGCTCTGCCAACGCGTTCCATCCCAGGCAGTACCAGCATTAATACACCACCATGTCGCTCCCATCCAACTCCTCAATGGCGTCAAGCCTTGCGACAATTGACGAAAAGTACGAAATGGGTGGCCCACGCAACGACGATATGCTGGTTCGCGACTTTGGTTGGCCCTCAGTCTCTCCACGCTACCACGGTGACCACACACCCGAAAGCAACCCAGATTGGGACCACAACCCGCTCGACTGCGAAAAGGCGAAGCAAGAGGCTTTTGAGCGAATGGAAAGAAGTTACGCTTTGTACATGGCGAACCTAGGGAAAAAAGTGCCTGTTCAGAAGAAGAAGACTGCTTGGTCCAGGTTCCTACCTTGGGTGCGATAGGGGTGGGCGACCTGGCGATGGTGCGCCTGCTTGCGACAATGTCAGAAAAAGATGGATACCCGTTTGGCAGATGGATGCATATACATTGCATAGGACAGCCATTGTTATACGAAAAGAGAATGGAAGACTTAATAGCCGAGAAGGAGTGGGGACTGGGGCAGAGGGGCAATGCACCACTGCCCCGAACCCCAGGTGTGGTTCGGAGGCTGCTCGGCGTTGGTAGTATCTTGGAGCATACTGAACCAAGGAAGATGCGGGGTTGGGCGCACCTTTGGCTTGTCCGGAAGCCGTTTTTTTTTGATACCCTTTTTCTTTGTCATTTCTTATGTTTTGCAGAGTCTCTGCGGGCCGTTTTGTAGTCTTGTCAGCGCATGTTGTTCTTGTATACCCCCGATTTAGGTGCGTTCCTTCTGCAATGGCACTCGAGCCACATAATTCTATGTAGTACACAATATATGCATGGACCGTTCCGAGAAACACTATTCCCGTGTCGGTGACTTGCATGTTGGCCTGCATGTTGCCGCGGATTGAGTATCGCGGGGTTTATCCTGTCCTTGAGGCGATCGGGAATTCTCTTCCAATCCACTGTTGTGCGGCGGTTGACCATTTCCGGTCAAGGCACGAACATAACTAGAAAGGGCTCCACTGTACAACGTGTCCAGTTTTTTTTCTCGGCGCAGCAATTCTAGAAGACTTGCATCTTGTGAGTTGCTGATATTGGAGTAGTCTGCTTACATATTTCTGTTCCATCCCATTACCACTTGCCACAATTCAATCGCCATTTTTAGCTCGTACAAAAAGCATCCACCATGAGCTCTACGCTAGAACAAAAGACTATGCGAGCGCAGCAATATGATGCGCGAGACAACAAGCTCCACCTCAATGAAGTACCTATCCCACAGCCCCGCGAGCATGAGCTCCTCATCAAGATGCAATGCGCATCTCTCTGTCACTCTGATGTGATGCTTTTCGAGCCCAATGAACAGGGTCTTATTCTCGGCAAGAACCCTGTTACCATCGGCCACGAAGGTACGGGCAAGGTCGTTGCGACTGGGTCAGGGGAAGTAGCCAAGAAGTTCAAAGAGGGAGATGCAGTGGGTTTCCTCTGCGCCGTCGACTGTTGCTTTGAGTGCTATTCCTGCAAGAACGTCAGTAACATCTGGTGTTCAACGGGACAGACCAAGATACAGGGGTTTAGTGCTGATGGGTATTTTGCCGAGTATGCTGTCGTGGATGCAAGGGAGGCTATCGTTTTGCCTGAGAATTGTCAGTTCACGTCTCGTTCAAGCAATACGGATTGGGGATGAAGAGATAAATGTGAGGGCGAGGCGCTAACTTTGATTTAACAGTGGATCCTAAAACATCAGCACCTCTTTTCTGCGCCGGTGTAACTGCATACCACGGCATCGCAGACTGCGAGCTACCTGCTGGGTCCTGGCTTGCAGTCATCGGCTGTGGTGGTCTCGGGCACATGGGTATCCAGTATGCCAAGGCCATGGGCCACAAAGTCATTGGCATTGATATTACCGATGTGGCTGTAGAAGAAGCAAAGAGCTGTGGTGCAGATTACACCTTCAATTCCATGACGGACAAGGATTACCAGAAGAAGATATTGGAGCTCACAGGCGGTGGTGTGCACGCAGCAGTCAACTTCACAGCGTCCAAGAAGTCGTACGATGACTGCCCAGCAATAGTTAAGCCTGGTGAGGGTATGATCATGGTGGTAGGTATTCCGCAGAAGCCATTAGAATTCAACGGCTTGGATATTGCGATGGGTCGTTACAAGGTCAAGGGGTCGAACAATGGAAGTAAGTCAAGCCTGTCTTCTTCTTCTTCTTTTTCTGTGTGAGACTAGATGATGGAAGCTGACTACGATACAGCATGTTACAACATGAGAGAGGTGATTGAGTTTTCTGCGAAACATAATATCAAGGCGCACTTGACAGCGTTCCCGCTAGAAGAGGTGCCCAAAATGGTCGAGCTGATGAACTCACACCAAGCAAAGGGACGCATGGGTGTGATTTTTGATTAGAGAAGCAGACAATTGGGAAGCCAATGAGAAGTATGGGGCAGCAGGAACAATGTACAATAGCAACAAGGCCGAATTTGGACATGTAGTAGAGACAAGCATGCACTGGTGTAGCTTTGGCCCAAGTGTTACCCGGGCAACGCTAGGCGATGAGGGAAAGCGCGCCCCTAGCGTGCATTTACACATGCGCTGCCCCGCCGCCGGCCCTGAAACATATGCACAACCAACAACACCCACGCCAGGTAGGAACTTTTGATTCTCCCGCCTGCAGTTCTTGATACCCTCCTTTTTCTCTTTTTCTTTGTGATACCCTCCCTTTTACCGGCGCCATGGGTTCCGACGACCTCATCGATTTCGAGGTGATTGAAAACCAGAAGGAAAACATACAGTCGCTCCCCAGCGGCCGCTCTGCCAAAGCCCTCGCCCAACTATACACACCGCCACTGACATCGGCCGCCGGCCAAGCCCCCTCGCCGTCGCAGATGCAAGATGCCAACAGCGCGACTCGCCTGCAGTACGAGAAGGAGCTCATGGCCATTGACGACTCAGACGACCCCCTCGATGTTTACGATCGCTATGTCAAGTGGACCCTGGACGCATACCCTTCCGCCCAGAGCACACCCCAATCGCAGCTCTGCCCACTGCTCGAGCGTGCGACAAAGACTTTTCAGTCGTCGGCGCAATACAAAAACGACGCCCGCTATCTCAAGCTCTGGCTGCACTACATCCACCTCTTCTCAGATGCGCCCCGCGAAACCTTTGCATACCTTGCCCGACACCACATTGGTGAGGAGCTTGCTCTGTACTATGAAGAGTTTGCCGCCTGGCTAGAGTCTGCAGGCCGCTATGCACAAGCAGAGGAAGTGTACAACATGGGCATTGAGCGCGGGGCCCGCCCAACAGAGCGCTTGATTCGCAAGTATGGTGAGTTCCAGCACCGCTGCGAGAGCCGGCCGCAACAAGCAGAGGAGCCTACGAGCCCGGCGTTGCCCGCTGTCCGTCCAGCGCTCGCGGCCAAGGTAGACCCATTTGCTCTCGGCTCACCAAGCGCTCCTGCCCCACAAGCACAGGCTCAGCCAAAGGCCGCTGCAGGTACATCGCGCTCAGGAAAAGCCAAGCTTGCCATTTTCGCAGATGGTGATGACGCGGCAAAGCCCACCTCGAGTGGCAGCACCGAAGGTTGGGGCAACATTGGATCGCTGGCGGATCGCAAAAAGGAGAACGCACAAGAGGCGCGGCCTTGGGCTGGTGAGACTCTGAAGGTCGGAAAGAAGAATACGGGCGTTCCCAAAATGGCAATCTTCAAGGATGAGGTGAGTTGAGCTACCTCCGTCGGCCCCTTCACATATTTACGATTACAGGACTAATTGGTGGGCGTTTTGCCATTCATGTATTCAGAGCAAATCAAATCTCAATGACGAAAACGTCAACTCTCATCCATTACGTGAATACCAACAAGCTGTTAATCCAAGGACAGGACGGCTCGAGGTCGTCTTTGTCGATTTGGAGAAAGTGTATCCTAATCATGAAGACCCAATGTCTGAAGAGTATTCTTTTGAAGAGTTGCGAGCTAAACACAGGGGTTGGTTGGATCGTGATTGGGCTGCCATTCGAAAACAAGAAGAGCAGGCGAGAAAAGATGCCGAGGCAGCACTTGCTGCTGCTCAAACGAAACCCAAAGCCATACCTTTAGCACCCAAGCAAGAACCCAAGCAAGAACCTGAACCAATTGCTAAGCCTCAAACAGTACCGTTGAAGGGAAGTGTTGATGACGACATGGGCAACGACGAGAATGCGCCACCATCGCAGGCTGATGTAGACAAAGCGAAGGCAGCGAAAAAGGCCAGACGCGAAGAACGTGCCAACAGGACTAGAAAGATTAAAGTCATGGAAACCAAGGAGATCCGCGGAGAAACGCAGACAGGTAAGTAGTGGTAGTCGATCAGCAACGCATTATACTGACATAGCGTAGTCCAAGCCAATCTAGATTCTCCAGTAAAGTCCAAGGTGCGACGGAAAAAGGCTGGTTCCGAGATGACTATGACACTCCACACTAAGGAAGCCATGGATGAGATCTACGATATATTCAACGAGCCACTGAAGAATGCTAATGATAATATTTCTGAAGCCCAAAGTGGTGAGGAAAGTAGCGATGATGACGAAGATGATTATTCCAGTGGCGCCGAGAGCACAGGAACTGGCCGTATATCCGGCGCTACAAGCGAATATGGAGACGAAACGACAGTCGGAGGAGACTTTACACTCGGCACTAGAGTCCTACACCATGACGACGACGACGAGGGTGATGAGGACGGTGATGACAATGACGAGAGCGGTTCAGACGATACAGATGCAAAGAGTATATCGGAGTCGTCTGACTTTACCGAGATCAAGCCTGGACAAAAAGCTGACGAGCAAGATGAGTCTGGGAACGAGTCTGAGCATTCTGATCAATCTCAAGATGATTCCTTTGATGAAACATCGAACGTAGACGGCGAATCGGAGCACCAACAGGACGAGCGGGTCGTCACTCCTACATCGCCTTCAGGACCAAGATCTCTTCCAACGCGCTTCGTCCCTGTTCCACCTGAAGACTACAACCCTGCTATGCGACCGTATAGAGATCCAGTCGTCGTTGCCAACAACCGGTTACCCTTCATGACGCCCATTGTAGAAAAAACCGAGTCATCTCTGGGCATTGCCACGGCTGTAGCACAGAAAGAGTATTATGCGGCCAAAACACCTTCACGGTCAAAGGGTACGCCTGCCATTATGGAGGATGACGATGAAGAGGAGACCTGCAGTAGCCCCTTCTCTGATATCCTGGGACAAGTCATTGACGGGCCAGGCAAAGTTGCAAAGCTAGCTCTGACCGAATCGAAACCAGTGCCCAAAGAGCCTCTAGACGAGCCGCAGCGCAAGCCATTGGCCGCAAAAGAACCTCCAGTTACAGTGGTCAAGCCTAGCGGGCCGATCATCAAGGACACACAGTGCAATCCAGTCGACGATAGTATCCGCAACGCTATCCTACAAGAAATTCAACCCCCATTGGAAAGCTACGAGGGTTACTACGCTGACACTGAGCAAAGCTACGGCAAAGGCGCGGATATTCGCAAGTACACAAAAGCGGTATCAAAACTGAGCAAAAATGCGCAGGACAAGACAGCAGGCACTGTTGGGGCATGTCCAACCTTGGAGTTTCCTGGGACAGAGCGGACTTATGTTGTCAAGCGTGAGCTTGGCAAGGGTGCATTTGCTCCAGTGTACCTGGTGGAGAGCAAAGAACCAGAGGAAAACGACGAGAATAAGCCTTCGCAAATGGGCAAGGGTGAGTTTGGGCTGAATCGTCAACCCCTTGAGGCAATCAAGATGGAAGATCCGCCAACACCGTGGGAATTCTACATTATGCGGCAGGCCAAACGACGACTGGGTGTGTCACGAGCAGCCGAGTCAGTTGTCAGCGCATACGAGATGCATGTGTTCAAGGACGAATGCTATCTGGTTGAAGAGTATCGCAATCAAGGAACACTGCTCGACTTGGTCAACCATGCTTGCACAGACAATGGAACAATGGACGAGCAGCTGGCCATGTTCTTCACTATTGAGTTGTTCCGTACAGTGGAAGCCTTGCACTCCAAGGGCATAATACATGGCGATCTCAAGTCAGATAATGTTCTGGTACGGTTCGACGCACTACAAAAGGATGAGCATTGGGATTCCGAGTACAAGCGTGACGGACGTGACGGGTGGTCTGCCAAGGGTATTTCGCTGATTGACTTTGGTCGGGGGATTGATATGAAAGCCTTCAAGCCCGAAGTGCAATTTATCGCGGATTGGCCAACGACCGAGGCTGACTGCGCCGAGATGCGCGAGCTGCGACCTTGGACTCACCAAATCGACTACCATGGCCTGGCTGGTATTGTGCACAATCTCCTGTTTGGAAAGTACATCTCGGCCGTTGCTGAACGGGGTGCTACTCTGGGCTCAGGTGCAACCAAGACGTACAAGATCAAGGAGAACTTGAAGCGGTACTGGCAGACTGAGATTTGGCACGAGTGCTTTGACTTGCTGCTGAACCCGCTGATGCATCTTGAGGGCGAGGAGGGAAGGCGACTGCCGGTGCTCAAGGGGATGAAGGAGTTGAGGGAGAAGATGGAGGAGTATCTTGAGAACAACTGCGAGAAGGGTGTTGGTCTCAAGGTGCTCGTTAGGCGGATGGAGGAAGTCGTGAAGCGGAGATGAGGATTATGATCGTGGAGTTTGGAGGGTTGCATTGGTTGGTGTTGTTTGACATGACTAGACGTACGTGATACCTTTATGAGCAATGATTTTACAGGAGTATTTTTTTATGACTCGCATTTGATGGGAGGAGAATTGAATGACAATATTTCAAATGTTGTGTCGCGTGGCTCTTGGTTGACTTGATATGATGTAAGTGCAGTGCCACCGGGTTGTAATGGTACTCTGGTGTTTGCGTCCGTGCATTTGCGTGGGTGCCTTGAGCTTGCGGGGAGCTTGTACACCTCCGGCTTCTGTACTGGGTACACTGCATACAATTGTCCCACTGCCACTTCTTCTCTTGACATCCCGCTTGTTTGCTTTGTGTATGCCGGCAGCGACAGCAAGCTTGCTTACAACAGAAGGTGACACTCTGTACCTCAGTGTATTGGAAGATAGAGAGGGAGAGTGAGAGAGCATCTACCCACCCCCACATCATCGCCGCCCGCCGCCTCAGCTACTCGCTCGACCACCCAGACTACTCCACCCCACTGCGACCATGTCGGCCGACCTAAGCAGCTTACTGCTATCTTTTCAGCCTGAGAGTCCCGATGTTGAAAAGAGGCGGGATTACGACCTCAAGGCCCGCAGCTTTGTCGCACAATTGTCCAACGTCTCTGCACCACATTGGGTAAAAGGCGCGGATACACCACAAGATGTGCTCGTAGTGGGTATGCTTCCAGGCACTTGGTTGAAACTTGCTAACGTTATAGGCACTCAACCCCGCTGTCAACTCAATGGCATACGCCTTTGCCCTCCGCAACCGTATCGCCGCTCTGCTGGAGAAGAAGAGCGTACCCGAGGCGCTACAGCCCGGAGGTGACTTGTGGAACCAGATGGTGTTGTTTTTCGAAACTGCGGATCCCATACAGCTGCGCTACGTGGGGAAAGAGTGGAAGAATCTGATTGAGTACACAGAAGAGATAGCACGTGGGTGTGGATCAGTAGGTTCAAGTTGTCATGGCTGGCACGAGGAAATGATACTGACCATTTCCAGCCGAGCCTTGCTATTGCGCCAATACGATCAGCCATGATGCGACTTGACACAACCACGGGCACCTTCACCTCGGTCCACGTCAGCTTCATACACCTGTGTCTAGAGACGCGATCGTACGCGGCCGCTGAACCCATCCTGGACAACTACATTCACACACTTCCGCCAAAGATTCCAAGCGCAGTTCGTGAGGGGTTAGAGTACTCTGTTCCGTGTGCAGATGTAGCGAGTAGTGGAGAGTACATCCACCAAAACTCTGGCCATACGGACCGGGTTGGGTTGACGGATATACAAGAGTATTATGTTTTGGGAGCCATGGCGTACCTAGGCCTGGGGCGATTCAAAAAGGCACAACAGTTTCTTGAGCACGTGCTCGTAGTTCCCTCTGCCAACACAGCCAACGGTCTCATGTTGGAGGCTTACAAAAAGTGGGTACTAGTGAGCTGTCTAGTACAAGGAAAGGTATGTTGTGAAAGAAAGAGAGAGAGAGAGAAGAGCAAGCGCCAGCTGACCTGGACAGATGGGGAGCATTCCACGGACAGCGAATGCTAGCGCGATGAAGAACATCAAGGCTGCATCCAAGGCATACGAGGCGCTTGCGGATGCGTACGAAGAGCTGGACAACATGTCCAAGTTGAAGGCTCAGGCACAAGCGGGTGGAGAGATATGGGCAGAGGTAAGAGCGATGCAGGTGATTGTTGTGAAACATGGGTTGAAACGGTGGGATAGCATGTTTTGATGGAGGGCTGACAAAAGCATGTAGGATGGCAATGCGGGACTAGTCCAGGAGCTTATCAGCAGCCAGACGAGGACGTATGTTTCACGGCTGTCACGGACATACTCTGCAATTCCAGTGTCTAATATTGCGAGACAACTGGGAGCTACGGGGGAGGAGATGTCGCAGTATATTGAGGGGCTGATCAGGGATGGGCAGCTGAACGGGCGGTTGGAGGAGAGTGACAAGTCGGAAGCTGGGGTGGTATTACGCTTCTACCTGGACGCGAAACAGGGACCGTTGGCCAAGAGCGAGAAGGAGCAGCAACAGGCGCTATTTGCGCAAACAGTGCGCACAAACAAGCTTGCGGAACAGGTCAAAGATGCCGACTACCGGATGACGCTAAGCAAGGAGTATATTGAGAACCAGAAGCGAGTGAACAAGAGACAGGGCAACAACGGGGACGCCATGGACACTGCGTGGGATGATAGTTTGGAGGCGGAGGAGGACATGATGGGTGACCTGCACTGAAGACGCGGTAAAGGCGGGTTGTGTAGGGCAGGCGAGGAAGGGAGAGCTGAGAGGGTAGGTGGCCCAGGCAGGATACTAGATGAGGATAAATGGTTGGCATGACTGGGGCCGGTGGGAGGGGTGCCATTGGGTTGCTGAGGGTAACGCATGAAATAGCTTATGACAGCAAAGAGGCAGTATTAGTAGGGGTTAGCATGGGATGATTGATGACGATGACGATGGCGATGAGCATGCATGGAAACAGCAGATGGAACAAAGACCAGGATGAGCCAATCGAGTAGAGATTCGATGCATGCCACATTGGTCTCGTGACGAAGCAGAATGAGAAGAAGAAAGCAGCAGGAGCCGTATCGGGCATGATGGCATTTGGGAGAGAGAGAGAGAGAGCGGGCAAGCGCGCGCGTGTGTGAGTGTTTTGGCATGGAGGTTACTTTTGTGATGGGATGCTTTTGGCGTCGGAGGCGTAGAGTGGGCCTCGCCTCACCTCGCCTCCCCCTTGGTGCCAGTGGTCGGACCGGAAAGGTTGGTTAACCGGGACCGAGAGATTGCAGCAGGACGTGCGGACAGGGCCCAAAAAGTGGAGGAGGCAGTGAGATGAAGGTATATATGCGTGAACATGAGTAGCGCGTCAGCGCTTGAGAGACTGACAAGAGTGGCAGCCGGCGACTGGCGACTGGCGACTGGCGACTGGCAACGAGGACAAGGCGCAAGCTTCTAGAATACGGGGCCGCGATCCTGGTTCAGCCGTGGTAGGGGCGGATTTGCAGGGTCTGGTTGGGGCCTGGGCAGATTTGTCTTACGGCGTGGTGGACCTGGAACCAGCCGGGCTGATGAGGACGCGCGAGGAGAGGAGAGATCCAAGAGGGGTGAGCACAGAGACAAGTCGAGCGAGATGGGCGTACGCTAGGCCGGCTTGAGCACACGCACCCCTGACAGCCGTACCAATACGACTTGGCGCCATGTGGCCGGCCGTCGCTGCTCCACATTCGTCTGTGTGCGTGCGTGCGTGTGTGAGAGGGAGAAGAGGAGGGAGCCTGTGGTGTCTGCGGTGCCTGTGGTGCCTGTGGTGCCTGTGGTGCCTGTGGTGCCTGTGCCTGTGTGGGTGCAGGTGGGTGCCGGTGGGCGGTGGCTAGGGGTCTCTTGCTTGATGACTGACTGCCGGCGAGACGACGCCTACGAGACATTCACCCACGCATTCCACACCCACACCCACTCCCACTCCCACAACAACCACACGCTCCCGCCCCCACTCCCACTCTCCCCCTCTCCACTTCTCCCTCTCCCTCTCTCGCCCTGCCCGCCTCTGTCTGTCTCTGCACGCCCAGAGCGCGTTCCTGCTTGGGCAACCATGCCCGCATCCGCTGTGCATTAACCGCTGGCTCGGCCTGAGACACGCATCCAGCTGCTCCATTCTCCACCATGAACCCCCAGGGCGAGCCTGCCGCCGGTGCAGCAGAGGTGCGCGCAGAAGCGCTACCAGGAACAGACGAGCTGCCATCGTCGCAGTCACAGTCGCAGTCGCAGTCACAGTCGCAGTCGCATTCGCACCACCGCCGGCAGTCATCGTCAGTGGGAGCGGTCAAGCGGTCAGCCTCACTCAAGGACGCCGCCAACCCTCACCCGCACACCTCGCCCAAACCCCACAGCCGGGCCACACCGCCCCCTTCGGCTTCTTCCAGGCGACGGTCGAGCGCAGCCAACGGTGCAGCAGAGGCAATTGGCCTGTTGGCCGACCACGAGGGGAAGTCGCACCATCAGCCCTACCACCACCACCACCACCAGGTCCATCACCACCAGCCAAGCTACTCGCGCAAGCTAAGCATCACCTCTACCACCGGCGCCGCCAATGGCGCCCTACCACACCCGCACGACTCCTCTCGCATCCATTCCTCGCCGCCCGCCCGCTCAAGCAAGCTGCACAACTCCAACACCCGCTCGCCCACCTCTAGCCCCCGCCGCTCCCGTCCTCGCTCCCCGGTCCACGACCCCCCGCCCACAGGCACTGCACCCCCCAGGCTGCCCAAACTGCCCCCCGTCCTGCTGCCCTCGACCGTCTACGACCCAAACACGCCCACCAGCAGCTCTGCCGCAAACTCGCCCACTGCAGCCAGCCTCTTTGCCCCCAACCTGCAATCCGTGAATGCCCCGCGAGACTACTTCAACTCCAAACCCACTCAACCCCAGCCCCCTGTTCAGCGACCCCCCTCGCGCACCAGAGTCGACAAGGTGCTGGCTAAATCCCCCCTCGCATCGCCCGCCATCCCCAACGAGGCTGACCCAAGGCACGACTCTGCGTCGGGCCCAGGTCGGCCGACAGCACGGCGGCCCTCAGTCGCTGCTGCTGCTGCAGTTGCCGCCGCCGCCACCACCACCACCGCCGCCGCCCCTTTGGGCCACAGGCACGCAGCATCACGCCAACACGCCTCGAGCCAGAGCAAAGACCATTCTCGAACCGCAAGCCGAGCCCACGCCACGAGTCCAAGCCGGGATCACAATCGCAGTGAAAGCAACACCAGCACAAAATTGGACGACCACTACCAAGGCACCCCGCCCCGCGCCCGCGAGCGGAGGGAAAAGGACAAAAAGACCATGTTGTCGCGGGCGCTGCAAAAGGCAAATACGGCCGTCCTGCTCGACAATGCCCAGAACTTTGAGGGCGCCATGGAGGCGTACGAGGACGCGTGCAAACTCCTGCAGCAGGTCATGGTCCGCAGCTCCCAGGAGGAGGACAGGCGCAAGTTGGACGCCATTCGTGTAACCTATACCAATCGGATAGAAGAGCTCCGTCGACTCGACCCTGCCTACACGCATGGCAGCGGCAAGTCACTGCCCGCTCGCCCCATGAGTGGGGAATCGCTGGACGAACACCGCTCAATGCTTTTACTCGAGGACGACGACGACGACGAAGAGCCCGCAGTAATACAAACTGCCTCTGTGTCTCGAATCGTAAACGACGCCTCGGTATACGAAAACTCTTTCGCCGGCGAACCAGATCAACCCCCTTCACACCAACTACCCCTGCGCAGTGAGTACCAAGGTCCTCGCGAGTCGGTCATCTCAACTGCCATCCGCGATGTGCAAAAAGGCATGCAAAACTCGCAATTTAGTCTACAACCACCGCCTGCCAGACTTGGGCCTTCGGCTACTTCTGGTCGCTCTTCAGTTGCCGAATCAGCAATGGATCGCACATATATGCCCCCGCCCCTCTCGCCAAGGAGATCAAAATCACCCCTATTCGACAGCCGGAGTGAATCCAGGCCCGACGAACCCGGCCGGTTGTTGCAGCCGCAGCAGACACTGGAGGCCAACCACCAGCGGGTCCACAGCAACGAGTCTACATCATGGCTTGACACGATAGACGAATCCGGAGGCTCATCGTGCTCCTCTTCGGTGCACTCCATGTCCCCGGGAGGCCCACGCCGAAAGCACCTACGGAATCCAAGTGGAGAGACCGAAGCAGAGTTTGACGCGGCGCTCGATGCTGCCGTTGAAGCTGCGTACGACGACGGTTACGAACCTTATGATGACGACATGTCCACGCCAGCCGACCTAGTATCGGCCAAGATGCGAAACGTGGAAATGGCCAAGGAGCGCGTACGGGAAGCAGAACGCGAAGAGGCTATTGCAGCAGCCAAATATCGTTACAAAGAAACCCAAATTCGCAATGAAGCACTGCCACATGTACGCGAGACTGCCGAAATCACGCTCAACGACGAAGCGGAAGAGGAGGAAAGGCTACTCGACGAGATGACCAGAGAGTACATGCTGGACGGTTTCGATTTCGACTTGCAAACAAAATCAGCGCTGCCACGGCAGTCAGACTCGAGCAACTTTTCTGGAAGCACATACAATAGTTCGGTGTCCTCGCACAGGACAACAGGCGGAACGTCGCTCTCAACCGTTACTGAAGTGGTCCACCCATCATCCAAACCACCACCCGCACATTCCCCTCCCCCGGTCCCCGCTCCATCCGGTGCTCTGCCTGCACTGCCCCCAGTTCTCGAGTCACAAGCATCCAATACGACCGATGCAGCAGAGGTCACGCCCCGACCCAATACCGCAACCAAGGATGCCGCTTCTGTGCGAAGCCGCAGATTGTCAGGGCAAAACGCTAAATCGCTCAAGATCGAGACATCTGTGCTTAATATTCCGCCTGCACCACATACAGAGAAGCCGCCCGTGCCAGCAAAGGACGTGCCCATTGATCTTCCTGCACAACCAAAGTCTGCTGCTGCTGCTGCATCATTTAGTACTAGCAAGCCTTCCCTGGATTCGACATTCAAATTGCCTGCACTGCCGCAAATCGCCCAACAGACCAGTCTTGCCGCTCCTTCGCCACAGCCCGCCCTGTATAGTCCTTCTGAGAATGGTCCTATTCCGTCGCCAATGCTACACGGTGTCTCAAGCGAGCCTGGTCTCGCGCCAGGTTCCCCCAAAACCGGAAAACCCCCAGCCTTGGGTATTAGAAAAAATAAATCTTCGCTTAGCTTGAAGCAGCGGAATTTGTCCATGTCTAGCCCAGATGGCTCAGACGTATCCATTGGAACGCCGCTCAGTACAACCTTTTCCATCACCGGACGGAAACCTAGCAACGCCGGACTGCCCATCCCAACTCCTAGCCTTCCCACGTTTAACATTGATGGCCTACCGAGCGGCGGAATGCATCTATTCGAGAGTGATATTCACTCGCCCTTTTCTCCTGGCTCGCCCAGTCCAGCAATTACGAATGCACCTATTCCACTGGAGCCATGTCCAGACTCGTATCTGCTGAGGCCATTTTGGTTGATGCGATGCTTCTATCAGACTATCGCCCATCCTCGTGGCGGTTACCTCTCAACCAAGCTTTTCATTCCTCGCGACGTCTGGCGTGTCAAAGGTGTCAAACTGAAGAACGTTGAAGACAAGATTGCCAACTGCGACATGCTCACAGCAGCCCTGCAGAAGCTAGCTGCTGTCGACACAAACGATGCGGATGCTGTGCTAGAAGAGATGCAGTCTCTAGAACTAGTGCTTGACCAGGTACAGGCGCAACTAACCAAGAAGCTCGGCAACGAAGTTGGTATTCAATCTGTATCAATCCTCTTCAAAGATGCAACTACTGTGGGCGAAGGCGCAGCATCTGCAGACGGCTTTTCCAAGGGCCCAACAACTAGCCAAGACTTTGTACCCAAGGGTGCTGTTGCCCAGGGCAAGTCGTACCTGGCATCATGGCGCAAACTGCGGTCCAAGAACTCTGGCGTCAATCTTGCTAACATGGCTACCGGTACCACGAGGAGTACAGAGGTGCCCAAGGATACGCTTGTCATGGCTACCCTTCCCATGACGAGTTTGACAAGCATACGTTTTGCAAAGCGCGACATTTCGGGCATGAGCTTTGAGGGCCCCCATGCAGGATACATGGGATCTTTGGCGCGCTTGTTTGATGCAGTCCAGATATTGGGTGAGTCCTCTTTTTTTTGTTTTTATGCTTTTTCCTTTCTTTATGCTTTGCAATGGTTTTACTAACTGCACGATTTCTTGTAGATCAAATCGCGCGTCAAGTCGAAGACCCAGGTCTCAAGCACTCTTCACCCACTCACGTTGGACTCGAACTGTCAACTCGCCATGCTGCCGAGTTCTTTGGCTTCTACATTTGTCGTTTTGTCCTTTCCGACGTGACACTTATGTTAGACAAATTTATCAAGAGAGGGAGTGAATGGGTTTTGGTTTAAAGAGTTGTGTGTGTGAGAGAGTGTGTGTGTAAGAGTGAGAATGAGAATGAGAAAGAGAGAGAGAGAGAGAGAGAGGCTTGCAAGAAGAGGACACACTTTACCTCCTTGTCCCCCCTCGCGCGTTCCTTCCCCCTTCCCATCATTGGAAGTGATGGTCGATTGGGCGAGTTGTTGAACGTTTGAAACCGTAATGAGAAAGAAGAGCATGTCACAATGCATCTAGTGCGTCTCCATTCATGTGTAACTATTCGCCTTAACCAGGTGTATTCTTACTCTTTACTCTCTACTTCCTTCTTTTCTTCCATCTCTCCTCTATCTTTCTTCCACCTTCACCTTCTTCTTCTTCTTCTTCTTCTTCTTCTTCTTCTTCTTCTTCTTCTTCTTCTTCTTTCCCTTCTCCCAGTCTCTCGACAACCCGTCATATGCAAGGGCAAAAAAACAAGCCCGCGCCTCATTTCCAACCTATCAACTCCCCTTTTTTTAAATTCTTCCCCCCACCCCCTTTCACCGTTGTTAGACCCATTTTCCAAACCAAACCGTCTTTAGGCATTTTCCTTTAAAGGATCAAAGTCACCTTTCTTCCTTTATTGAGGGTTGTTGTTGTTGTTGTTTTTCTTCTTCTTTCCCGAGAACTAGGTCTTGCGCTTCCTTTCCCCATTTTTTCTCCTTCTTCTTCTTCTTCTTCTTGATCTAAAAGGAAATTCGTACCAAGGGTAAAGAAAGAGGATGAGATTGAGAATGAGAGGAGGGGAGATTGGGAATGAGGGAAATACGATGGATATAGGGATGGGGTATAAAGGTGGAGGTTATGTGGGAGCGGGGTGGCTTGATGTTGGATTATTATCATCATTCTTCTTCTTCTTCTCCTTCTTTGGGTTTCTTGGGTTTCTTGGTCATGAGGTTATGGATTCGCGTTTCTTGCTTTATTTCTTGTCCCTTCTTTTTTCCTCTTCGACTATGTGCCTTTTTTGCTCTTTTGGCAACCCGGCACTTGATTTTGCTGTTTGTTGAACTGTTTATCTCCTCCCTTTTGCCTCATTATCGGATGGGTGGATATCTTGTTCTCGATCCATTTACCTTTTTGGCTTGTTTGTTTTGCACGTCTCTTTGAAGATATCCCAGACCCCTTTTTTTGTTGTTGTCTTATTTCATGTTAGCTTAGCTTAGCTACAATTTGCTAGCGAATATCGAACTATCGTTATCGCCATTATCGGTCTATTATCTGATTATAGAAAAGTTGAGTACGATAAGAAAAGTTGATTCCTATTAGGTGAAGCGGAAGACCTACTTCCTAACAGAATAGCTACGGACACGAGGGCCAAGAAAAACAGGGTACAGTATGCTCTTAAACAATCAATGACTGTGCCACTCGCTTCGCAGATTGGGTCTCACTCCTATTCCAAAGCTCCTGATGCGTGTAGAACCTCCCATTCTCAGGTGGTGGTCTCTTCAGCTGACCTCTTGCCGCCAACGGCCTGCTGCTCGATAGTGTCTCATGTAGCTCGGCAGAAGCGTCATCGTCTTCTCCGCTTGGCAGATTGAGTGGGCGACCCCATGCCGCTTGTGCACTTTCCAACCCACTACTTGCGCGAATCGTACGTATGACGGCCAAAGAGGCGATGAGATTGGCTTTTAGCATCGCTATCTGGAATACCGTGAGGGTCAGTTGCAGGCTGCTAATGGCGTCGCTGACGGGAGTGTTCATTTCATGGTGGAACATGCGTCCGAGTGCCGTCAGGTTGTTACTCAGGTTGGGAATCGACTGGATGTATTCGAGGTATGGGTTTGTGAGATCGTTTATTACGTTACCGAACGTGAGTGTTGCGTTAGGAAGGACGGTTGGAGTGACCCCGCTTGTGTTTAGTGAGAATGTAGGTGTGGTCATGTTTGAAGGCGACGTAGAATTGATGGCAACAGAGACGTTTACCGTATTTACAGTAGTGAGCCATTCGGTCTAAGATTCTGGCTATCAACTTCGAGTTCATATCGAGACATGAAAGGTAGTGTGAAAACACACCTTGTTTGTGTCGAGCTGATATTTCCCTCTTAGAATAGTGCTGGTGATGTTGTTCACAAGATCGGCAGTGCCCATTGAGCTAACACCAGTCATGCTGCTGAAACTGAAGCCAGAGACTGCGTTGTTGGGATCCCCGATATAATTTGCGGCTGCATTGATGAGACTCCTCAGATCAGCGAGGTCCTGTACAGCTGGTGCGACAGCTGCCGCAGCGATTGGAATGAGGACGAGGCCGGTTACCAGCATAATGTATAGTTTGTCGGATAGGCAAGCAGGGGGAAATTTGCCAAGTTATCAATACAGCTAGCAAGTATCGATACTGACAACTGCTAGGTGGGAGGGTTGAGAGAAGGAAAAGGATAATCACTACAAGCTAAGTGTTGCTTGGAGTGTGTTGTGGATGACGGTTAGAAGCTATGCACTGCAGAAGATATTTCATAGCTTGTTTAGCCATGTAGCCAGTGGAAGCCACGATGACCACTGTAAACATAGACAGAATAAGGGTAGCCGCTTCGTGCTTGCCGCATCAGTACACTCGAGATCTTCACTTTCTACATGCTACTCTTCCTCTCCACGTTGCCTCTATGATCAAAGTCTTGCATTCACTCTGCCTTTTTAAAGTATGCATTGCTCCCACTTGTATCTCCAACGTATGTTCTCTCCAGCCCTGCATTTCTGCCACTATCTCCACTTCGGCCACCCCACATGATCTCTGCAGATAAAGTTCAGTGGGGAAGGCTCGAGCTTCAGAGAACAGCTGGCTTGTGCGAAGACAGTGCGTTTTTGCTCAAGTCGTAGCTTCTGTCACATTCACCTATCTGAATTGGCAAAAATAAATTGAGTTCTTGAATGAGCATTCGTCAGAATCAGGTTAGGGCAAGGCGATAGTGGATTTGTGAAAGTGGATGGAGAGTGTTTAGTCCATGCCAAATTCTGGTTGTTGAGTATTGCAACCGTGCTCCACCAAAGATAGTACCCGGTAAAAGTTAATTGAGCATAGATATGGTTGGTGTCAAAGCTTGCATCTGGCCTCCAGACGTTATTATTGAGCTGTAACACACGCGCATTGGCTGAACTTCGTGTAGATTCCTCTCGACTAAGACATTGAGTAAGAATATATTGTAGCGGCGGATGATGATCAAACATTGAATGCATCTACTTACTATATGGTTTTCATATTGCTGGTAAATTGATATTTTGAAATAACCCGAAAATGAGAGAATTACATAGCCTCCAGCAAGATCCTGCATGGCACTTCTGAAATGCTGTTCCACGCCAGTGTATGAAGTTGAGAATACGTAATCTGTCATACGTGGTTGAGAATTTTTGCATGTTCAGCGAATATGACCAGAATCACGGATCCTGGCTGTCAAACTATCCAAACTATCCGTTTCCCAGCGGACGGCGGTACACCATAGCTATGCAGTACAAACAGATGACTATACACCTTTCCAACTCTGACCCATATCCACTCCAGCTTGCCACTCGCTTATGATATGTCATGATTGTCATGAGCAGCTGGTGTATTCATCAAGGTTAGAAATTTGACGCCTCAGGACTAGAGATCCATGCTATCATTTCTGGATCGCGAATCACCATTAGCCTTCTCATATGCTCTCCACCACAGCGCCATGTTAGCCGCTACTAGCAAATCCATCATTTTCATGCCTTCGTCCTCGAGAATAATCTTTCCAAGTTTTGCCTGCTTGCCACCCATACCTCCTCCTGCAAACTCCTGTCCAAGAGAGAGATCCATGCGGTCTTCATTGTTTTCATCTACGTTAATAGATGTTGTAGAGTTATCGCGAGAATGGCGACCTCGACGAAAGAAGGAAGACCGCTTAGATGCTTCAGCTCCTCTAGCTGCAGATCTCTTAGGACCACTGGGAAGGTTAAACCTGAGCTCGCTCAAGCTTGCACTCGAGATTGGTGCTCCTTGAAGTCCAGGAATAATATGGCGACACTAGTATAACAGTTAGTCTCTTTGGTATCAACGTCACAGAGCTGATATAGCTACCTTGAGAGATCCTCCACCCACACCGGTAATAAACTCACAGCGCCCATTCCATGGACTTGTGAAGACATAGCCACGAAAACTTGTTTGTCTTTCAGAAACCTGAATGCTACCGTGTGTCTGATGGTCATATGCCTGGAATGAAGGTGAGAGTGGAGAGCGCAGGTCCATTGACGGTCTCTCAACCTGTCCAGTATAGCTACCTTTGGAACTAGGCCGAGCGTAATTGATATCGTAAGAGCTATTCTTCCTGTGTCCAAATGCATGGCCCAGGTGCTGTGAGCCTTCCAGCCAGATTCGTCGACGGAATACATTATCGCTCGCGGCCTGGCCACCTGTTTGCGATTCCACTGTTCCAGAATGTCCCGTTTGCCATGATTGAGTGGAGAAGCCACTGTCTCGACTCACCAAAGGTGGCTGAGGTTTGTCGGAGGAGTCTGAGTGAAGGAATTTAGAGTATCCAGGATTGAACACCTGGATGTACATCGGCGCCCCGGACTTTTTCTTGTTAGTGGGATCCCTCAAAGCTGAAGATGAAATCTCAACAATGGGAGGATCCTCAATACGGGCAACATTCCATTGAGCGCCAGATGCCGGGTCTCTCCGGATGAGCGTGAGTGATGGAGGTTCACGTGGTGGGTTCTCTGATCGCCGACGTGGCAGCGGCGGTGGCCTCTCGTTTTCCTGTTGGTATTGGGTCGAGTCAAATGAACGCCGCGGGGTGCTATAGTCTGGCGCAAGTACCCCTGGTCTTTGCGAATAGTTTCCGGCGCTGATATTGTGGCTATTTGAGTAATTATCAATAGGAGCCAGGGTTCCTGGCACAGGTTTTCGCATTGGAGGAACAGCATTAGAAGTTCCTGGAACCGCTTTCCGCGGAACCAGCGGGGCAGATGATAGATTTTGGCCTACAGCATCAGGACCTCTCAGCTCCGGAGGATCGACGAGGTAAGCATCCTCAGGCTGGTTGACGTGGACATAGTACAATGAACTCTGGATGTCTTCTGCTGTCACTACCTTCTCGCGTGGTTTCATAGGTGAAAGAAAAACATCTGGAGATGTCAGGATACATCTGACTTTTAGAATTGGGCGATCGTACCTCTGCTACCAGGAACACGCGCGATGTACAGTACTAGCGGATCATGCCTAAAATGCGTCGGATTCCTTGGGTAAGATGGTGGGTTAAAGGCAAGTGCGGTAAGTGAAGAGAGTGACTTTGCTTCGACAACGGGCGCGGCCATGAGAGCGAAAGAGGCGGGCACTGGTGACGGGGAAGGAGAGGGTGCGACGGTGGCTTTGAGGATGTTGTCGCGTGCCACAAGGACTGTTATTGCAGTCCTGGGCAGCGTTGCCTAGGATATATGTGACAAGCAGTCAACGCTCAGGTTTGTGCTTGCCTCCGTGTGGCTGTGCGGCCGCGTCTCCCCGCTAGGGACATGAGTCTTATATGTGCGTATACTTGGAGCAGAAGCGCCGCCGTCTTGGCCTATTGCTGCGCAGGGCGACTGACAGGTGGATCGGGCTGACGCGCATTAATCCGAAGGGCTCTGCTGGCTCTGCTGGCGATGCTGGTGGTGAAGGAGCCTGTAGCCATGAGCACGCGAGGTTGTTTCTGGTTAGACTTAACTCACGCCCGCTGATTGGCCCTCGAAACCAAGGGTCCAAGCGCGGAAAGTGTCTGCGAAATCTTGGCTTCCATGCATTCAAACCTCGATTTTCGCGGCCCGCACACGACACACTCGCCCCGCCCACTACATGCCCACCTGCTTTACTGCTACTCGCGCGCATTTAGCTGATACAAGATGGGGGACAATCTCGAGGTATGTGGCGACAGTGTTGCCTGTCCATCCTTCTTGCCACTGACCGGAAGCTGTAGGAGCGATTGAAAAGCCACGCGCGGGCATTCGAAGGGCTCATGTCCTTGATACCCGCAAAAGAATATTACGGAAAGGACGAGAGTATCACCAGCGTATGCATCTCTGCCTTCCTGCGCCCCCGCTCCGTGCTGATATGATATCTGCAGACGCAATGGCAAAAGAGAGGAAAGAAGCAAACCCTCGAAGAACGACAGGCCGCCAAGCGTGCGAAGCTGGATCCTGCCTCCCACAAAAGCGCCAAAGATGTCATGGACGAGAACGCGCTGAAGCGGAAACGTGAGTTGGAGGGTGAGACCGACACGGAGGTTTCCGAGGCCGAGTCGTCCGATCTGGACATGGACATCACAAAGGAGAAGCCCCTAGAGGGAATCAAAAGCAAAGCAAAAAAGCAGAAAACTCAACCTGTCGAACCAGAAGATGACGACGACGAGACTGCCGAGACACGGGCCTTGTCAAAATCTGAAGCCAAAGCTGCGGCCAAGGCAGAGAAGCGGAGAGAGAAGAGAAAGGAGAAGCAGGAGAAGAACAAGCAGAAGTTGGAGGCAAAGAAGAACAAAAAGACAGCGTTCGAAGGCCTTGTCGCCACCAAAGAGGCCAAGGAGGACCAGGACCAGGACGATGCCGAGGAGGAAGAGGACGATGACGACGCGGCTGCTGACGACTTTGAAAATGAAGACGACCAAATCGAAGCACTAGATGTCAGCGGCCTTATCGAAGAGGGTCAGTCTACAGCTCCATCCACTGTTGCCAATTCCAACTCCTCCACAGCTTCTGTCGCCTCGGCCAGCTCATCAGCCTCGTCGATACCCCAATCAACTGAAGAGGCGTCGCAAAAGAAAGCCAAGAAGCCTTACACCATTGATCCAAAAAGTCATGAAAATTTCCGCGCGCGATTGAATGCAAAGCTAGAAGCCATGCGTGCGGCACGGAAGGCGGACGGCCCGGACGGACGGCCTGCCCGGAACCGAGCGGAGCTCATTGAAGCACGGCGGAAGAAGGAGGCCGAGCGAAAAGCTGCTAAGAAAGCCCTTCGTCAAGAAGCAAAGGATGATGAAGCTCGCCGGCAAGCGGAAGAACAACTAGCACGCATAAGAGGCGGCTCGGGCTCCCCTTCCATCTTCCCGGCCAGATCACCAGAGGTTGAACGCAATTTCAATTTCGGCAATGTCGCTTGGGACGGCCAACACCTAGACTCAAATCTTTCTGGATTCTTGCAGTCAAGGAAAAAGAAGGGCAAGTCGGACAGCAAGACAGCCCTTGAAGCTGCACAGAAGAAGCAAGCGCGTATCAATGCGCTTGACGAGGATAAGCGTAAGGAC